TACAATTCTGTTAGTTTTAGAGGAAAAACTAATAGGAAATGGGTGATATGATAGACTTTTTAAAATATCAAAATCTAATATTTAGTTGAAGGGGTTAATTGATAGTTTTTAAAAACATGAGGGGGTTATGATTTTAGGCCTATAGTTGATTTGGATATATAAATTTTGATAACTTGAAGATTGGGATGGTTAAAAAATGATATTTAAATAATTTTTTGCATTCTCAATAAAAGAAAGTAACAATAATAACAGTAATAATAAAATGATTAAAATCGTAAAACCCTCTTACATTATTTTTATATGTTACACAACGCCTGTACTATTAAATAACCACCATAATTAACAAAAATAATCATTTTACTCTTATTTTGTAATAAGGCTGTTAACTAAACTAATACGTGAAATGGTAAAATTGATCTCCATGAATAAAATAATTAAACCCTATTAGACTATCCCAAATCAATCAAATAACTCCCTATATCAAAAAAAATATCTAAAAATTTCGTTACTTTTAAAAAAATTATCATTTCACCCTTTTTTTATTTTTTTATTTTTGCTTTCAAATGGTAACGGGACATTAGCACATTCAGGGCCAACCAAGATTTAACAATACACAATTATAAAATCTCAAATCGCAAATACATAACAGAGTATAGATAATACTATATTTATTTTGTTAAAATCTATTTGATAATACTGTATAGTTAAGAATGTTTGTACGGTTAAAATAATTTGATATATTCAAAAACTGTATAGTTATATGAATTTGTATTTTGTAAATTTAGATTTATGGAATATGGATAATTATTTCTTTTGCTCTATCTCATTTTGAAAGTTTTTAATTTACTGTTTTTGGGAAAGAGGAAACACCATGTTTTTTTTTTTCCTTTCTTTTTTCTCCCTTTCAGTTATACTATGTAGGAGGGCTTTTTCTTTTTTAACTCTATCGTAGTAACGTGGCCTATGAAGTTAGATTCAGGGAGTATAAACATATCAAGTGTCAAAGTTTTCACGTTTTCTCTTTTACGTTGTTTATCATTACTATATAATATCATTATTGTTCTTGGTCGTGTAAGCAGAATTAATAGTCTAACATTTATTTCACATAGATCAATAAGTATCCATATATTTAAGAGGGGTTGCACCATATTTAATTGATGTGCATTACATCATATTAATTCCTAAAGTTGTCTCGTGAATAGTAACATATGAAGTGGTGTATTGGTTGATAGAATCAACACAACTCTTTATATGTAATGGAACTGTCCCAACCCTCGTCTATATATATGTGTGTTAAAATTCTGAAATCCATCATCTAGTACGCAGAGAGAAGATTAGAGGGTTGAAGGTCGTCTCCAATCAGAATATGTCCAGAACGTTGTAATTTGCTAAAATAAAGTTTCATATCGAGTCGGTCTCCTAATTGAATTTATGCATTTAGGTTCATGAGTTGATTTGTAAAAGATATTTCTTACACGTGGTATCAGAGCCCACATGGACTCTAATGCATAAATTTATTTTACGTATGAAATTTATGTACAATATATATATATATATATATATATATATATATATATATAATTGCGATATATATATATATATAAACCAAGAGACATGTCTTTTTGGGTTTAAACCAAACAGACAGACAGACACACACACACACACATATAGGATTTGAACCACGTGTCTTTGTACTTATAGAGTCATGCATGTTGCATGCACCGGTACGTAGGCTTATGGTCCATGCACCAAGAGTTATGCGCATGATATTTTAGAGAAGTTTTACTATAAACTCAATTAGAGTGTGGGTGATTATTCTAAAAAATAATTACATGACTGGTATAAGATTAATAATTTAATTTTAGTCCCAATATTCTTTTTATAGCATGTATAATTGTATAAAGCTTCAAATCTAATTTTGTGCATTAGTAATCTTTCATAAATATTAATTAGTTATGTCATGCATCACTATTTAAATATTTTATATCTTTAATGATATACATGACATAATTAATGATTACATATTTGGTCTCATAGTATATATGATTTATAAAATTATACATGTTATTGAAATTATATACATAATTATGCATGTGCCTCATGTTTCGTATTATTGCATAATATGTATATGGTATTTTGATTCATTCGGAAAAATTGAATCATTTTGCAATCCTAAGCACAAGTGTCGTTAAGTTTGATCGAGTGTTTAGTTACCAAAGTGGCACACTCATGAAAATTTTATTGATATTTGTAACTAGTGGCAAAATTATTATTTTGTTAAAGTTAAAGGATTGTGTTGGCGTTTAGTAGAGACGAGCAACGATCAAGCCCAAAGGTAGGTCATTGAGTTTGTCCAACTAAGCGGATTGAAGTAATTAGTGTAGAAGACACAATTGATGACTCACTATGCCCAAAGAAGTATAAGTAATTATTGTGTTTTCTATGATTATTTAGCTTCAAATGTGAAAGTTATTTCACCAGTGGGAGACTAATATATGATAATTTTGGCCCAAATGAAATATTATTATATGTTATGTTGATCCCATTTAGAGTTAATTGTTTTGAGGCATTATTTAATTAACTCTGGAAAGTTTAATTGATCTTCCTATCAATTAAACTATAAATGTGTGGCCTTAGTTATTCTCAAAGTCAGTGGGAGTAAAATTAATCTTTAGTGTTAAATGTGGATGACAGTGATACTATTGTACATGAGATTAAACAATTTAACTTCTCAAACATTTGAGATGAAGGTGTTGATGACGCTTTTTTATTGGCATTAAGTTTCACCTAAATCAATCTTGTGAAATTATCGGATTGTCACAAAGAACCTACTTAGATAGAGTTCTAAAAGTACTTGACACATAACACTATAAAGGTGAAATTACACTCATTGTAAATGTGAGAATTTGATATTCCAATGGTCGAAAAATACTTAGAGCAAGATTAGATAAAAGGCATTGCATATGCCTTTGGAAACCTAATGTATGCTCAGGTTTTGTATATGGTTAACTATAATATAGCATATGCTAGACAGATATCACAGTGATCTTGGTTTGGACCTATAGTGAGTGGCAAATAAATTTATAAGATATTTGCAAAGGATTGAGAACAGTATACTTTATAATAGGACCTGATAAGTTTGGCGTGGTAGAAAAACTGACTATGGTGCTTGTCATGACAGTACAAAATCCATTTTAAGTATTGTTTTATTATTTTGATAAGTGATAGAAGCGTAGTTTATTTGCATGTTATAAGGCCACATTTCATGTTTTATAAAATATCAGTTTTGGACTTCAGGTCAATACCGCTACAGTCTTGTATTAAAGAAACAACAAGAGTTCAAGTTGGTCTAAAATATGACCGTTAATACCTTGTTGTGAAATAGAGGATACAGAACCAGCTAGTGTCTGATTGAGCACATTGATACCCAACAAAAGATTGTTGATCTCATAACTAAGGGTTTGCTGCTAATGTTGTATAGTAAGCATGCAAATTTCTCTTTGACAACATTAATTTACTTAGTTAGTGGGAGGTTGTATTTGGCTCAGGTAAAGACAATTTTATTTTGTGATCACAATTATTATCCTCATTTACTTTTTTCATATTAGTGCACATGTGTATGAAAAATTTGTGACTGAAGTGTCCAGTTTTGAGACACGGTGTGTCCTTATTGAGACACGGTAGAGCCGATGCATGGCATGAATATTGTATTGAATAGATGCACATGCAAAATATATGTGACGTTGGAGTTGAGTTTATTAGTATCGGTGACCATTGGTGTCTTATATCATTGATGATATAATGACGCCCTTAATCTCATATTAGTAGACTCGAAGGTACTCCAAATTGAATGGTAGATGTGTTTCTTATAAATATATGGATTAACTTTTGTAGTACACCCAATGATCATTTTGATCTTGAAGTGATCAGAATTAATTATTGTTAGACTAAGTGGGAGAATGTAAGCAAAATTAATAATCTAACATTAATTTCACACAGATTAATAACTATTCGAATATTTAAGAGGGGTTGCACCATATTTAATTGATGTGCATTAAATCATATTAATTCCTAAAGGTGTCTCATGAATAATCACATATGAAGTGGTGTATTGGTTAATGGAACCAACACAACTCTTCATATATAATGGAACGGTCTCAACTCTCGTCTATATATATGTGTTAAAATTATGAAATTCAACATTCAGTACGCAGAGAGAAGATTAGAGGGTTAAAGGTCGTCAGAATATATCTAGAACGTTGTAATTTCTCTTAAATAGAGTTTCATATCGGGTATGTCTCCTAATTGAATTTGTGCATTTAAATCCATGAGTTGATTTTGTATAAGATATTTCTTACAGGTTGCGCACTCATAATACATTAGTTTTTCTTTTTTTAATATCCTCAATACTGGCAATTGAGATTAATAATATAACTATAAATATATATATATTTTAAACTCCATCTAAACAAAATGTCTGAAAATGAGAGTAGAATTTAGTCTTGGAAGTTATTTATTAATATAAAGGGGTAATGTGATCAAATTAAATAGTATAAGTGATTTTAATCCTTAAAATAACATATTGATCACGGGTTAAAAAGGGTATTTTCATTACAAAACATTTGATTACTCCTTAAAGGCAAACAAATGGAATACAAGTGATGCAATGGATTTTAAGATTTTAATTGAGTTTTTAGATAATTTTTTATTTTACTTATATATATAAGTTTATATAACAATTTAAAAATAGTATAGGGTTTTTAAGTGATGCAATGGATTTTAAGATTTTAATTGAGTTTTTAGATAATTTTTTATTTTATTTATATATATAAGTTTATATAACAATTTAAAAATAGTATAGGGTTTTTAAGTGATGCAATGGATTTTAAGATTTTAATTGAGTTTTTAGATAATTTTTTAATTTTATTTATATGTATAAGTTTATATAACAATTTAAAAATAGTATAGGGTTTTTAACAGAAACAAAAATAAAAATAACGAATCCCTTCCCAATCCCAACAGGAGAGAGCACATCTGAACAGCAGTTAATCCAACCCCAAACGGTTCTAGTAGTGGGTGTCGACCATCCCCGCAATTTCTCACATTCTTTCCAACACAAAGGTCGTACCCCAGACGCCTCTCTTTCTCTTTCTAGTTTCCTCATTTTCTCTCTCTAGATTTCTCACTCTCTCTCGATCACATCTGAAAACCTATATCTTCAATCTATTCCTCTACATATCCAATCTCCACTTCGCAACACAATGATCTAATCACCTCTCTCTGTCTATCTATTTATATATATTTATATATATCAGTTCTGTTCACTTCTCTCAAACTCACAGATCCGATCCCGAATCTCCCGATCGGATCGGATCGGATCGGAGCGTGTGAACAATGGCGGCATCGCGACGCCTACGAGACCTGCAATCGCAACCGGGCAACAAGATCTGCGTCGATTGCGCCCAGAAGAATCCCCAATGGGCGTCGGTGTCGTACGGCGTCTTCATGTGCTTAGAGTGCTCCGGCAAGCACCGAGGCCTCGGTGTGCACATCAGCTTCGTCCGATCCGTCACCATGGACTCCTGGTCCGAGATCCAGCTCAAGAAGATGGAGTCTGGTGGAAATGAACAGCTCAACGCCTTCCTCGCCCAATACGGGGTCGCGAAAGAAACCGATATCGTCACCAAGTACAACACCAATGCTGCGTCCGTCTACCGGGACCGAATCCAAGCCCTAGCCGAGGGTAGGCCGTGGCGGGATCCACCGGTGGTGAAGGAAACCCTAGGGGCTAGCAAGAAGAAGCCGCCTTTGAGCGGTGGGGGCGGCGGCAGGAATGGTAGTTCGGGGGGAAATGGAGGGTGGGATAATTGGGATAGTTTTGATGACGGTGGGTTCAGATCATCCTCATCGGACATGAGGCGGAACCACTCGACGGGTAATGTTAGGAGCGGTTCAGGCAGTGGAGGTGCCCCGGCCAGGTCAAGGTCGACAGAGGATATGCATACGCGGTCGCAATTGGAGGCTTCGGCGGCAAATAAGGAAGATTTTTTTGCGAGGAAGATTGCGGAGAATGAAACGCGGCCAGAGGGGTTACCCCCATCACAGGGGGGAAAGTATGTTGGATTCGGATCAACACCAGCAGCCCCCGTGCCGCGGAATAATTCGCAGGGGGATGTTCTTTCAGCTGTTTCTCAGGTAAATTATGTGTATATCTACATATATAAATATAGGTGTGGTTTAGTAGTCATGAATTTGAATTATTTATCTTTTTATTGATTGCATTGTCCATTTGTCATATATAGGGATTTGGTAGGTTATCCATGGTTGCTGCATCTGCGGCACAATCGGCTGCTACTGTTGTTCAAGCAGGCACAAAGGAACTCACTTCCAAGGTATTTGGTTTTTTATTTTGTTCAACTTTGTGGGCTAGTATGTAGAACTAGGTTTCTTTCCCTAAACAAACTCTTCTTGTTAGATGGTTTTGTATCAATTATCAAACTTTTGGATAACACTGATCATTATGTAATATAGGTACAAACTTATTAAATTTTCTATATCAACTGGGGCGAAGTTGTTAGAATGAAAAAAAAATTTTTTTTTTTGAAGTTTTAGTTTTTATATTTCAGAAATGTACAAAGAAGTTGGCAGCAGTGCAATAAGGTGTGAATTATGAAGGTACTAAGCTACTAAATGGGGAGAAAAGCTGAGAAGATGGATGGGGAATTGGTTAAAAGAGATTTAAAGATCTCATTCTTCACAACATACAGTTTGATGACTGGTACTAACTACTAAACTGCTAAATGGGGAGAGAGCTGAGACAATGGATGGTGGTTTGCTTAAAAGAGAAATAAATATCTCATTTTTGACAGCTTATAGTGTGATAACTGAGTAGTTGTTAGGACCTATGGGCTGACATGGTGGGTGTGATGACTGAATAGTTGTTAGGACCTATGGGCTGACATAGTGGCAAAAGCTTTTACTTATCAAAAAAAAAAAAAAAATAGTGGCAAAGGCTTTTAGAGTACTAACAATACAAGTTTTTTTTTGTCAACCAATAAAATGGAATTGTAAGTTATAACATAACATGGTTCAAGAGTTCTAGAAGACATATGCAGTGCATTAAGGTCAACCATTCCAATCTTATACTTCGTAAGGTCCACTCTTAAAGAACCTATTTTAATGGCTAATGGCCCATTAAGGGCTTGTTTGAGTTCACTCATGAATTTGAATGAACAAAACTTGGCTCAATTTTAGCTTTATAGAATTTGTGAACATTTAATTTACCTAAGAATTGTTACAGATAGAAACAGAGTCCGATAAGGCCATCCTTTTGTGATTCTAGTCATAGAAAAGAATTCAACAAGCGATACTGTCAACAAAGGTTTACTTCAAAAGCTCATGCACCCACACAACCAAACAAACAAGCTAGCAACGAGGGTGAATATTACCCAACATAATACTTATTAAAAAAAAAATTTATTAGGCAACATAATCCTTTTTTAAAAGGTGACAAGCAAGCTGTTGTGACGTCTCTGTTATAACACGCTCATTGGCTTGTTGTATTCCAAGTTCATAGTTGGTGGCACTTTTGTAGATAGTTGGTGGCACTTTTGTAGATATTGTTTTTAAGTATTATGTTATAGAGAAAGGTGATTTTTTTGCATAATAATTATCACATGCTAACATTTCATTTTTTACTAACTTTACCCACGTTAACTTTGATCTTTTAGTCTTCCTCTTCCCCCAGTATTACCTTCAATGTGGACTATGTCACTTTTTCTAACTGGCACACTTAAAGGTCTTCTTTGCACATGTCCAAACCATCTTAATTTATTTTATCCCATTTTATCTCCCAAATGTGATAATTTTTAATTCTATCCTTTCTAGTCTTACCGTGCATCCATCTCAACATTCACATTTCTGCCACACTCGCTTTATGCAAATGTTGTTTCCTAGCTGCCCAACATTCGGTACCATAAAGTATTACTGGTCTAATAGTTATTATATAGAATTCCCCTTTCAATCATAGGGGAATATGCCTATCACACAATATACTAGATGCACAATTTTCTTTATTTGTCCTCCCCATTCTAATTGAAATTTGGAATTAGTGCCAAGTGTCAACGGCCCTGTGCCATCATTGTAGGTTTGTTGCTTGTAAACAAGGGGATCGTTTGGCCCTCATTGCAACCTGTTACTTGATTATACATTTGTGTGTAAATTTTAGGTAAACCTCCACTGGTGGGCTTACTTAGTGCTAATTAAATACTAGATGACTACTCCTTCGCATGGTCACAGACTATGACAGTAGTGTTGCTAAAAGCACTAGCCAGTTGTGACGTGCCTTGCAAGATCGTACCTTTTCTCTTTATTGTCTTAAAGGCTAGTAGACATGATCCCTTACAAGTCCAACAATAATAAAAGACCATTGTTTTTCATTTGGGCAAGGTTGGTTGGGGGAGTGTTCTCTATTTCAACATCTGCATTTAAGCCATATTCATTTTACGAACATGTTTCTTAACCACCAACATTATGTCACATAAAGGGTGATTGGTTTAACAGCTGTTTTATGTGATCTACATTTTTATATTAGGTATATATGTTTATTTTACAATATGCCAGAAGTACTTCTTTATTTATTCATCTTGCTTTAGTACTATTACTCCATTTGTTTGGACGTAATTTTTTTTTTTTCTTCTGGTGGTGTTGTCGTAAAATATTTACGAAGAAAAAAATTATTAAAATTTAACAAAAATAACTTATCCATCAATTTTTTGATACCCCCCCCCCCCCCCCCCCCCCCCCCCCCCCCCCGGCGATGGACTCAGCCTCGACATAGACCTTTGCGAAGCACCAACAAATAAAGATGATTGGTAGGAGTAATTAGGAAAGATAAGATTAATAACCAAAGGATTAAGGAGAAATTAGGTGTGACGCCCATTAGCAAGAAAATAAGAGAGAGTAGACTTAGCCATTTAGGTGGTATGGACATATTTGACACCAACCTATAGATGCACCAGCGAGGAGAGGAATATTGATTTGCATAGAATATAAGAGATAAAGAGGTCACCCAAACTAATATGGACTGAAGTGATAAAAAATGATTAGCAGGACAGTAGAAATGGCTTATGATAGAAAAGATTAGGAAAATAGAATCCGTGTAGCCGACCCCCTTTTTGTACGGGATAAAGGCAAGGGTGATGATGATGAAGACAATTTACAACCATTATACGTATATTATTTACTTCAATATATATATATTTGTGACCTATTCTTTTCTAGAACCATATAAAAATCTGTTTTCAACATCTTTCTGTTAGTCTCCTCAATGTTTATATAACTTTCATTATCGGCTACCTTTGACATAAATCCAAATTGATCTTCTAACATTGTTTTTTTCAGCCTAAGTTTGATGCCCAATCATTCTCTTCCAAAGATCTATAGTTTGACTTATCAATTTTATGCTGTGCTGACTTGTACAACTTTAGATAATTTCTATATGTAACTACTAAATTAATTTTTTGTCTCTCATCTAGCATTTTCTTAATTAGTACAATCTTGTTAAATGCCATCATCTCCTAAACACTTACAAGTTTAATTATGAATATTGTTTCCTTAAAACAAAATTTTGTATTCATTGTTCGTAATTTTATTTTTACCTGGCACACCAACCCGATCCCACGAGAAATTTGTTTTCATAATCTTCACGAGGTTACCATATTCTTAAAACTTGTACTTCATATATATAATTTTCATCCAACATTTTTTCAAAGTAACCCTTTCTATTTATTATTTTATTTATTTATTTATATATATATATTTATCTTTGGCCAAGATCCTTAGATCTTTGGTCCTAGCTTAATGTGATTAAAACAAATTTATAGTTTATTTAATACACACGTAATGTGATTAAAACCTCTAGCTTTCCTTTACTTTATGTAGTTAGGTATATACATTCTTCTCTCTAATCTTTTGTACCTAATTTAGAATACTGGGTTTGTATGGAATTCAGTGTATGCATGCTTACCTACCATATTTCTTTTTGGTAAATCATCATGCACTCTATAGTTCGCATTTTTTATTGCTTTTTTAGCTTCTTTGTAAATTTGATTTTTCAAGCATTTCTTCATATTTAGTTTTGGCCAAATTTTTTTGGTACTCCCTTTATTTATTATTATTTTTACTATGGTTTGGACATCCTCATCCCACCAACAAGATTCTTCATCCACCAATCTCTCTCTTATATTTGCCACAAATCTTTACATGATCATTTAAGTCTTGTATAAGTAATCTTCTTGGAGTATTTTTGAGTTAACACATCTATATGTTTTCAAAATTGTACTTTAATATACTTATAAAAAAAAAAAAAATGTACTTTAATATGATAGTCTTGTCCTGTTGGGGTGAATAAGCTTTCTTGGGGATATAAGTTTTATTATCTCATTTTCTTGTAAATATTGCAATTTCTTTTAAATTCATGTTATTATCCTACTCCATAATAAATTTTATACCATGCATTTTCAATTATCCTAGCCCTCTCCTACTCGCTTATTATTATTAATATTATTCACATGATTTATTAATCTTCTTTTTAATAATAGTGTTTGCCAGCTTTACTTTGTTCCAAGCCTACCATCTTGGAATAGTTTCTTTAACCTATGTGTTAAATATTAAAAATATAATTCTGTGGAATTGGGAAACACGTAGGGCTGCAAATGAACCGAACTGAGCCGAGCCGAGCTTTGGCTTGCTCGGGCTCAGCTCGCCAAGTGTAGAATGGTGCTCGGGCTCGGCTCGGGCTTGGTCGAGCTTGACTTAGGTAAGCTCGAGCTCGGCTCGCCAATATTTGAATGAGCTTGGGCTCAGCTCGGTTCAAGCTCTCATTTCAGAAATTTTCTTAATCATCTGCAAATCATCTTCTGCAAATCAGTCTATATCATCTCTACAAACCAGTCTATATTCTTCACCGTCTCATAACTCCATCAAAAGTAAGAAAAAAAAAGGGTATGAAGAAAAAGAACATGGTTGAGAGAGATGAAGACATTTCTCAAAGAGGAGTTGTTGTTGGAGCAAGTTTATCGCATCAATCACTCCTAGATTAAGTGGATCTGTGATTGAGAGGTCTCCTGTAATCATGGCGTTACCCAATACCAAGCTTACTGCCCTAACAGCAGGTCTTGGCTAGAGAGATTGAGAGAGAGAATGTGAAAGTGTAATGGCTGATCTATGAAACTTGGTAAAGTGATGGGTCGTAGTCTGATGCTTCATTTGCTAGATTGCCAAGTTGGAATAAAGGTGGATAAGGACATAGCATAGAGATTGCGCAGAGATAAGGTTAGCATTTGGTAAGGTGAAACGATTTTTTAAAGATAAGGCTTCCAAATTTGATTTGTATATTATTAATTTATTATTTTAAAAAATAAGTTGATGTATTTTAGTGATTTATGTATTCATAAGAGTTTGTGATTTACAATGTATACTAGCTTTATACGAACTTGTGTTCACAAACACAAATGAGCTCATGTTCACGAGCTTATACGAGCCGAGCTCAACACTGTTCGGGCTCGGCTTGTTTAATAAACGAGTCTAAAAATTGAGCTCGAGCTCGGCTCGTTTGCTTAACAAACGAGCCCGAACCGAGCCAGAACTGTTCATGAACAGCTCGGTTCATTTGCGGCCTTAGAAACACGCTTTGCATTGTAATTCCAAAAATAGGAAAAATAAATTGTTTCATGTTCCCTTGCATGTATCTATTGACAAAAAGGTTTGACATTAGCATCAAAGCATCACTGTCATGTAAGTGTAGTTTGACATCTCTCTCTCACACACACACAAACACACAGCTCTTGTAACTAAAAGTGTTGAAATTTTTAAGTGACATATAGTATAATTACTTGAGGGCATAAGACATTCCTGGTTTTTTAGAGTTAAAAACAATTTTGCTTTCTCCTCTGGGACAAATTAACTGGCACTCTGTCTCAATTCTTTAATGTTTTCAGAACCTTGGTGCAGGATGTAATAACTAGGAAATATATCATGAGAAACTTATTAGGTTCAAGTGTGGTCTTTGAGATGGAAATATTATTGCAAATTTTAAAATTTACATTAGAGTAGTAGATCGCAAGGATGTGTGTCAAGTATTCTAGATACATTTTGTCATTTTCCGTTTCCCCCTAAAGTTCTACATATTGTACTAATTTTGGCTACTTACTCTTGATGGGCTTGTGGACCATCATACTCGGCATGCCAAAGAATTCGCGTCATTCATTGCCTTTGGCCTATTTATGGAATTGTAGGGAATTGTAGGGAAAACGTTGTCTGGTTTTGGTTTTTGATAGATATATTTAATAGGGTAAAGTGCAAAAAAACCTCTTGAACTATGCTTGAATTTGCAAAGAACCCCCCTTAACAACACTTTGTGCATGATACCCCTTGAACTATCACATTTTGTTCCAAAATGCCCCAATGCCTAAATTATATTTTATTAACTGGCCATAATGCCTATCACATTTTGTTGAAAAATGTCCCAATGCCTAAACTATATTTTATTAAATGGCCATAATACCTTTTCTTATTGAATTACACTTAATCTATTTTTCTTATGGAAATAAATTATGAAATAAGTTCATACTAATTTGATGACATAGTCTCCATTAAATTTGCATAAATTTACCTTTAATTTTTAAAATTAGTTGTTTAAATAAAAATCTTAAGTAATTTTTTTTAAATAGTTTAATTATTTTCTTAATTTTTCATGAATATATTACATGAAAAAGAAGGTATTTTTTATTTAAGTAATTTATTAATTTTTTGTCAATATATTGTATGAAAAAGAAGGTTCTACGGTAAAAAAGTTTAAAATGGGTATAATAAGTTTTATTATAAATAATTAAATTTTAATAATAAGTTAATCATTTTAGAAAATGGTAGTTACAAATCTTTTTATTTTTTTCATTTTTATGATAAATTGATACTAATAATAAAATTAAGGTAAATAGTATAATTAATATTTAGATAAGAGAAAAGATGATAAACATAATTTAATAAGAAATGACAAATTTATTGAAAAATGGTAAAATAGTCTTTTGCGATGGGTTTGTACTTAATTGTAACAAATCAATAGTTCAGGGGGCAGTTTTTAGTTTAAGGGGGTTATTTGCAAAAGGGCAATAGTTCAAGGGGTTTTCTTTGCACTCTACCCTATTTAATATTTAGTTATTCTGTTATGTCGTTATAACTTTGTTGTAGTGAACTTCGGAATGCTCAGTGGTGAAGCAAGATGTTTGGATTTACCTCTTCTTACAGGTGAAAGAGGGGGGCTATGATCACAAGGTGAATGAAACTGTCAACGTTGTCACTGCAAAAACAACAGAGATTGGACAGAAGACATGGGGGATAATGAAAGGTGTCATGGCGATGGCTTCGCAGAAGGTTGAGGAGTACACGAAGGAAAGCGGTGGCTGGAAGAGCGATGGCTGGCAACAAAATGAAACTGAAAGAAATGGGTATTATCAGGACTTTGGACAGGAATCCAAAGGATGGAATTCTTCTGGAGGAGGTCAACCCTCATCTGGTGGGAATTTTAATTCTGTAAACTCAGGCTCCTGGGATGATTGGGATAGCACAGACAATCGGAAGCAAGAATCCACAAAGGGGACAGCATCCCATAATGGGGATAATAGCTGGGCAGGCTGGGACGATGCCAAGGATGATGGATACGATAATTTTTACCAGAGTGCACCTGACAATAAGACGATGAGTCACAATGGGAAATCAGATACCAATTGGACCGAGGGAGGCTTTCTCTAAGGTCAGTATATTAACCCAAGCATTTTTATTGTTCTTTTTACTTCCAAAATTAAATTTTCCGTATATCTGGTCGGGAAGGGCTTGTGTGTTTGAAAATAGTTTAAATATGTACAATTGTCAGAAGGGCGCGGTAATTGCCGATTTAAAAGAGAATTGTTGCTCTGTGTTTGTGAGGAACATTGTCTGTGGCTGAAAATTTAGATTGCCTTCGGAAATGTAATAACTTAGCTGTTTTATTTCATTTCGTTTGTACTTCTATCTTATGTACTTCAACTTCTTTGTAATCATTGAATTTTTTGGGATTCAAATTTTCATTGAAATCTTTTGATTTGTACCACGTTAAAAAACATTTAAAGTTTTCACCAAAATCTGTGTGTCCCTACAAATTATAGATATAACGTGTAGTTCTCAGGAACTGATGGTTTTTAGAATTACTGTTCGGTATCATGGTTTAGCAGCTTTATTTGTATGGGATGAAGGCAAAGATTATGATGATGATCTGCCCAAACTGCCTCGTCGTCTGGAGAATTAGGGGTTGTCTACCAATTCTCCACTGGGTGGGTTCGAACCATATACAAAAGGTTTTAGCTTTTTGACAAGGGAAAAATGTGGATTTATGTGACTCCTTACAAAAATCAGCTGAGCTCGGGGTGGCTCCTAATGGAATAGAAAACAAAAAAAGTACCCTTTATGGTCAAAAATAAAAAAATTGTTGTGCTTTCATGATATAATGTTGTGGTATAGATGCATTAGCTTTTTTTTGGCTTTGTTTTGTTTTGTTTTGGTGGGCATTAAACAATGCTAAATTGCTTTTTTTTAGTATATAGGACTTTTGCTGGATGTGTTCCACATAGGATTGGGAATTGAAATGGGTATTGGTCGAGTATGTAGCACTATCCAATAGTTTAAGTTTTTGGGTCAACGGGCAAACGTTCACCCGTCACAACTTTATTCTGATATCTGCAAATGCATATACCCGAAGAAGCCCCCTATGTTTGACTTGAACAAGGGCCATTCCCATTTAAATTAATAGCTCCAGCCTACACAGTTTAAGTCATGATCAGGCTTTTGGCAAGAGGCAGTGATCAACCAGAAACAATTTTAACTACCATTTTTTTTTTTGTCAAACGAAACATCAACTTCTGCTATGCACAATTAATATACTCGTTACACGCTGCAATTTCTTATCCATATAGACACAAGGCAGTGGGTCTTATTTGCAACTTTCTTGTATCTATGGATAAGAAAAATATAGCAGTTCAGACCTATAGAGTATCTCAAGGTACCTATAGCGATATATCCCTGGATTTTTGGACTGAACTGAAACTTATAAGCGACAAACAATTATGCATCCAATTTATTTATGTCACATTTTAAGTCCTTGGTGATCTCTATACCATACTGGATGACCCATTGGCTGCGACTCTGTCATCTTCTCTTTGAAACCTTTTTGACACTGGAGCCTCCTCTACATGGGCTACATCATGTTCTTGAATCACAAGCACTGAAGAAACAATCCCTTGGTTTGATGAGGCCAGCAGGTCTCCAATGGGCCCTAGCTCGGCGTGCTCAGCTTGGCAGTCCGCCAGCTCTGCCACCATCGTCGATGGGAACCGACCCTTCCCTACAACGATAAGGTCATAGTCCCTTCTTCTCCCTATCTCCAACACTGCCTCCATGACATTGCTTGCCACCTTCTCTATGTACTCCACCATTCCCTCATTCTTCCTTTGGAACTCCACCACCGCCCCTGCGTCCAACTCCTATATACATTTTATGATCAAATGAAAATAAATCAGTTCCATGTTGTTTAATTATAATCAAATAGTTTATTCTGTGATGCTCAACTATATAGAGAGGATTACCTTCTCCTTCTCGCGGTTAATGTTGATGGTGGCAGTTGAGAAGCTATAACTCTTCTCTCTACACTTGTTTGGCGATGGGCGCAACACAATGCCATTACCTTCCAACCCTTCTTTCTCAATGAACCTTATAACGGTCACTTTAACAGCCGGATGTTCTGCCATCCGACCACCCAACACCAAGGCCTCCCTGTCGTCCGGACCACCAAAGAACACCACACACACCCTCTGTGCCACTGTGGCTGTGGGTCCTGGTGTCTGTTGGGACCCACCGCCGAATCCACGGTCCACAAGCAACGCCACGGAACACGGTGCGTTCTTCAGCACCCTCTGATTGATGCCTCTCCACCCGTGTCCCATGTTCTCTACCTCAACCTCACCCATCTCTTTCCTCCATTGTTTGTGGAAAGGCAATATGATCATTGTCACCCCCTTGTCTTCCGCCACATGGCATATGTCCTCGTCCATTGTGGGCAATGCTGATATGGCAGTTATGGGTCGGACGTTAACTCGGCCGAGTTGTCCGTATGCTTGGAACGCCACCCCGACTCGGTCGTGTAACTCACCCTGACGGAAGCGGTTTATGAACGGAAAGCCGTTCTTTCGGAAGCGTTGGACCATCACGATTGACGATGACCGTTCTGTGAGCTCAACGAGGTGCATGATGTATAGTTTGAGTCCGGACTTGTTGGTAGACCGAGTTGACTCAATGAGGTTGATGAGTGAGGGTACGTTCCCTGGTCCGTGAACGCATGCGAGGATCTTTAGCTCATCTTTGATGCTTTCAGAGGCAGATTGTAGGCGGCGGAAGGTCCGGGAGGGGATGTTCCGGGCAGGTTTGTAGATGGCCATCACCGTTGGGGTTGTCATGAAGGTGGTGAACAATGCCATGAGGACTAATATAGCAAACACCTCATCGTTAAGCACCTGAAGAACAATTCATCACATTAATCAATTTTGCTACTGCCATCACTATTATTATGTAAAGAAGATTGCCAAAAATAAATGGAAATGATAAGTTGAATATTAAGAATTAGAATGAGTCAATTTTTTTAAGGTGTCTCGTAAGAATTAGTCATTCGGTAGACACACTTGATTGCTTAATCGGAGTGCTAGTACAACTCTTGGTATCAACCTGATCTTTAATATTATTTATGCGAAGTGATCGTTTTTGTGGTAAAACTCAATTTCTTTCTCTTGGTAGTCTGAATTCTTTCAACAGTATTGCTACGTTATATAAGTTAAGGATTCCCCTCTACGTACACATTCTTTGGGGTTCATAATGTTACAGTATTTTTTAAAAATTTTAAAATTTTGAAATACTTGAAACAAATGAAAGAATTTGCAACCCAAGTTTGTTGCGGAAAGAGAGAAGCAAACTCTACAATATTATTAATAATAAATTAAGAATGAGACATCCAAGACTTATATATATATATATATATCATTTTCCATGTATGTGTCATTCTTGTGACTTTCATCTCTGGAAAGGTAGAACAAGAGGATGGTCATGGACCCATGGTGTGACCCTACATCCCCAAATATAAAAAACCTGGACGTCTAGATCCTTAGACTGGCCGGGGAACCACCTACCCTAGAAAAAAGATGTTTTTTAATATATTTTATTGAAAAAGGCCATGCCAAAATTGACTACTCAAAATAAAAATAGTGTCTTTTGTTATTCGGCGATATGACAGATCATGGAGGGATTATTTGACATTTTGCTGAGTCGCCAAAGAGGAACAAAGTGGTGGTGGCTTTTCTCTTGAATTTATAATAATGGACTATTTTGACTTCACTTACTACAACTCAATGACACTACTTCTTGTTGACTTTGTGGAGTATAAAAGAACAAAAGTGAGTACCTTCCGTTGCGTGGGACACTATTTCTTGTTTCTTTTTTTCTTTTGGCCAGTCAAACTGAAACACTCACATTTTACTGTGAGTGTCTTAACGTTAAAAATGGATTTGGATCTGGAGAGTCCTCTCTCCTATTTGTCGTGAAATTGGATTTAAAGGTTAAAAAAAACGTCATTTAATAACACACAAAATATATATATATATATATTCTTACAGAACGAATCTGGTATCACGAGAAATGAATAAGAGATCAGCTAAATTTATATAGGCACATAATGTAAATTAAAAAAAAATCAGAATCATTAACCTTTAAATCACATAAATCGAATTGACAAATAGGTCTAAGTATTACTATTATTTTTTCGTATTCATTTCAACTAGCTATAGTTGGCATTCTATTGTGAGCTTGTGGCACAGTTTATCGTGTTATAATTTAGCAAAAAAACCATAAGAAAATGCTGAAATGCGCATGACTAACCTTTTTCTCCTTGCCGATGTTGAGCACAATAAGCTCCACCAATCCTTTGGTATTCATGAGCACCCCCAGCGTCAACGCCTCCCTCGCCGGAATCTTACATATCATTGCCACCGCGAAGGTACCGGTTATCTTCCCGGCACACGCCGTCGTGATCACGAGCGCCAACAGCCCCCACGCCTTTCCGCCACTTATCTTCGCCACGTCGGTCTTCAACCCGCTGGACGCAAAGTAAAGCGGCAAAAGCAACCCGGACACAAAATCTTCTATCCTCTCAATCAATCTCTCAGCAAACTCTCCTTTCGGAATGGTCAGACCGAAAACAAACGCTCCGAATATCGAATGAATGCCTATGAAGTCTGTCATGAACCCGGACACCATCACAGCGCCTAGAGTCAAGCATATATATGCTTCGTCGATGGTGTCATGATCGGGCGAACACCGTTTAGCGACCCGGTCCATGACGGGTCTGATAAAGACCATCATGAAGGCAACAAAAGCAACACCTGATAGTAGTACCCATAAAGATATGATGGGGCTCTTTTGGGGTCCACCCGCACCGTTTCCCGCCAAGGCTACGGCCAGGGCTAGTAGGATCCATGCGGCCACGTCGTTGAATGCGGCCGCGGCCATGGCCGTCTCGCCGATGCGTGTCGTGAGCAGCTTGAGCTCTGCCAAGATGCGGGCCAGCACCGGGAAGGCAGTGATGGAGAGAGCCACTCCCATGAAGACTAGGTATTGACCGAAGCCGACTTTGTCGGCTCCTTCAACTGTTTTTCGGAGGACTACGGCGACTCCAACACCGGAGATGAACGGTAGTGAGATTCCGGCTGCAGCGATAGCAAAAGCTCTTCTGCCACTACGGCCGATCGAGCTTAGGTCGAGCTCGAGGCCGACAAGGAAGAGGAAGAAGAGGAGGCCGATGCTCGCGACCGACTCGAGGATCGGAGTACTCCATGACGGGAAAATCCTGTGCAAGTATTCTTTGTTTCGGCCTAAAGCTGATGGTCCGAGAATAATTCCACCCTGAAATGAAAAATAAATAAATAATCATTACCTCATTTTTTTTTTCAAAAAATACTTTCAACCAAAGAAAATTTTCAATAAATTTTCTACTTTTCAGTAATTTTAAAATATATTTTTATTGTTAGAAAACTGAACCAAATAAACACCGCGGTTCTTGTTTAGTTTGGTTGAGTTTTTGTTTATAATTTTCTTGAAGTTGTGAGTTTAATTTCTAGGCAACCAAACAGTGGTTAGGTATGATGATGGATGGAGGGAACATACAACTATCTCTGCAATGACTTTGGGTTGGCGCATGGGCTTGAGAAGGAAGGCAAGAGAGCGACTGAGGACGAGGACTAAGGTGGTTTGGACTATCAACAATGGGAAGGCATAGTGTAGGGGGTTATCACCTTGCCAAACTCCATTGGATGATGTCTTAATGGAGGTTATATTGAACACCATGATTTGTAGTTGATGATCAACTGTGTGCTAAAGTGCACAGACTCTACTCAATGTTGAAGACTATATATGTAACGTATGTGTGTGTGTGTGTGTGTGTGTGTGTGTGTGTATTCAGTACTCTATAGAATTCACTGGAAATTTTTGAGGGAGCCAAACCCTGTATGGTGAACTACAAAAGTGAGAAAGGGGTCTTGTTATTGTGCTTGCGGTCTGTGTATAATATAAATAGGATCGAGGTGCATGTATTATTGAGTGACTAAAAAGGTAATTTACTATTACATTAATAGTGGTCAACTAAGGGTACTATTTTAATTTTGTGCAGCTTTGGGTCTTTATTTATTTATTATTTTATTTGTAGCTTTGGGTCTGTTGACTGAGGTTTTATTGCACCTTGAATTATAGTCTTGGCAAATTTTTAAAATGGTCTACATTCCTTTGGCTTTTCTTAAAATGCCTTACCATGCAACAAATGTACATTCTTTTTAGAAAGTGGCGCACAATACCATTAAATATCTGTTAATTTTTTTTTCTTTGACAATTGCCATTCTAATAATTACACTAACGATATGATATTTTTTTTTATAGAAGATGCATAAAAAAAACCAAAGAATATAAAGTGATGAACACTTAAATATATTGGTTTATTACTCGGACATCAATTAGGCCTTTTACTGATAAAAGTGTTGATTTACACCATTATCCTTCACCGGATGATGGCGAATTATATATATATATATATATATATATTCTATTTCTGTTGAAAGAAGCAACCAACATTAAAAGCATTCAGTATGCATCATACACTTTGTCTATCTATGTTTTTTAAAAATAGAATACCACATAAGCATTGTTTAATAAAAAATACTTATGTGGTACTTTACTTTTTTTATTAAAAATTTTTCTCGAATGTGCAACATTAATATCTCATTATCTATTTATTATTAAATTAATTTAATTAAAAAATTAAATTTCAAAGGTGTGCCATCCACCGACTAAAGATGTTGAGAAAAGAAAGCAAAATCTAACGAAGAAAATATTAAAATATTATCCATGTGATTGTCTAACTATGAAAAATAAAATAGATAATAATAAGTGAGGATCACTAATTAAGGACTCTAACATTCATCTATACCAGCCCCTTCTTTCTCTACTTTACAAAAAATTACCTACGTTTAACCCTACCCCGGATGTTCTAAGGGCGACTTTAATTTCAAGACGTCTCTTGTAATAATGACCACGTTTTATTAATTTATATATATATATGAAAAAAGAGGTCGGTATGTCGTCGACTTTGAAGGTGGAAGGAGTTGTACATTTCTTTATAAACATGAAGATACAAGAAATTCCTTCTCCCACTCTCTCTCTAGAATTCCTATATCTCAACCAAAAAGATCCCCCTTTCTTTACCTTACTCCTCCTATTTATAGAGATTTACAAATGTCGATGGACTGCTGGATCTAGGCCCGTTCCTTCATGAGTCCCGGTCCTCTTTGATGGGCCTATGCGCGTTCGGCCCATATGGTAGTGCCTTTTTATGGGCCTGACCCACCTGTACGGACTCAATGCCACGTTTGCAAGTCATATCCGGCCCATGTCCTATCGGGCCTCCTCAACTGCCCCCATAATTACCCCTTGTTTAATAAGGGGGTAATTATTGAAGGCGTCTCATCATGACGCTGACGGTTCGAGAAACCCACATGGGGGAACGGACGGTCAGATCCAGAATCAATGTTCCGGGGCTCGATGAAGTTCTCACCTTCCTGACGCTTCGGCCCTCGGGTCCCCCTCGCCTTTATAAGGCTCTAGAATGCCACTCCATGCCTTTTTACCGTCTCCATCATCAGTCAAATCTTTCTCTTTTTAGAACAGCGCTAAGCTTTTTCCGGTGAAATCCTTCAAGAGTCGTTCTTCCAGCGGTCTTGCAGTGCTCTTTGTTGCTTTCTGCCTCAGAGGTTAGTTTTGTTCCTTTTTACTTTCGGCAGGCTTCTTTTTACCCCTTTTAGATCCTTCAAACACTTCCACCATGGTTGTAGATCTAGATGTTCTTCGTATGAGACTTTGACTTCCTGACAACATCGAAGTTAGGGTTTGCCCTAAGGATGTTAATATTATGACCGGTGCCGGCCTCCTGCCCGACGAAGTTTTATTCACGAACCTTCAATTGAATGTCGTTAGGTTCCCTCTGCATCCCTTCTTTAGTTATGTCTTCAATAGACTGGGGATATCCCCCCTGCAGGTAAACCCCAATTTCTTTAGAATCATATCCGTTATGCTTCTGTTGATTCGTGACAGAAATCTGGACCTTGACCTCATAGATCTTCTTCTGTCCTATAAGGTCAGTAAGATCCGAACTAACGAGCCCTTCTACCACCTCTACCCGTTCGAGAAGATGTCCATATGTACGGACACAATAAAATCTGAAAAGGGTTGGAGGGATAACATCGTGGGCATTAGTGGGGCTTGGTCTTCGCCGGCTGCAAAGGGTTACCCAATCCCGAGCGCCTTTGGCGTCTGTTCTGTTTCCTCATATAAGAAATTCAAATCTCACAAACATGATTGCCCCTGCGAAACATGCGTTCCCCGCTTTTGTACTTTCTTATGCCGTTCCTTAGGAATACCTTGTGATGACTTGAGCTACAGTATTTGCAGGGATAGGAGTAATTACTTGAAGAAATACGTTCTGAACGATATTCCTTCCTGCTCAGACCTCCTCACTTCAGACAACCTCCTAGCGCTCTCATCCCTCGGCTATAACATGAGCAGGCTTCAAATTCCTTCTTTTGGCAGGAAGAAAAATACTCCCCCAGCCACTCCTGCTGCTGGGGCAACCTCCTCTCCAGCATCAGCCTCTTCCTCAGCCACCTTCTCTGACACTATCCCGAGCACGGTGGCTATTGACTCTGTTGTCAGCACCCCTGCTGCCAACCCGAGCACGTCCCCCCAAATTACCACAGCCCCTGCTGCCGCGGGGGGCGCTCGGGACAAAGAACGAGGCAAAAGGCCTCATCCTGACAGTGGAGTCGATCCTGAGGAGGAACCTCTCATAAGAAGGACCCGGGTCTCCGGGCCGGGTGCTCTCTTGCATCGCCCGGTCAGAGCTCCTGCCCCCTCCGGGCCTATTGCAGCTGGTGCCTCTGCTTCTGCTTCAGGCTCCCCTTCTCTTCCCACCTTACCACCATGGGCCCCTCGGTACACCCGAACGGATGGGACGTTCGTGAAACCGAACGAGACCATGCTGAGGGATGGCCAGACCGCCATGGCGTACTATAGGAGCATGTGGACTCCGAAAGACCTTGAGGCGGCGAAAGGCCTATCCCAGAAGGATGTGTTCAGCCGCTTTCCCCAATCTACCATGGAGGTGACTTTTATTTTCCAACTCATGAATTCTCTCATATTATTTGGTCTTGCCTTCGCCCGACCTTACTATTGGCTTAACCGTTATTAATGTACATCTATGCAGACTTTGTTCGGAATGATGGCTATGCAGAAGCAGGTAGAGATGGGGAACGCCAGGGCTCGTAAGTTTTCTGATAGCTTGGAGGTGGCCAATAAAGAAAACGACCTTCTCGCCAGCAAGAATACCGAGGTATTGGCTCGGCTTGAAAAAACTGAACAAGAGAGAGATGTCCTGAAGAAGGAGAACGACTCTCTTCAGGATGAGAAGGATGCCCTCCAGCTTGAAAAGAGCGTCTGGCAGACTGAGCGTGATTCAATCAGAGACGAAAAGGCAGAGCTCCAGCGCCTTCTGGCTGATGAACAGTCTGCTCGGATGGCTTTTGAGAAGAGAGCTCTGGACGAGCGTACCGCTCTGATTGATGCAATCAGCAGAGTGAACGGTGGGATGCTGGCTCTTCATGCTCGGTTCTTAAAGGTCAGTGCTCTTAGATATGCTCAAGGATTCCGAGAAGGTTTCTCCGACCGAGTTCCGGATGAGGGACAGACCAGCTCCACTCCAGATGAGGTCGACAAGGATTTAGGGATCGACCCTCTGGGGGTCTATGTTGACCCAGAACCCACCGAAGCGGAGCGCATATTTGATGAGTGCCAGGACATTGCTTCCTCAAGGATCATTACAGCTCCTCCTACCGCTCTGCCTCTAACCGCTCCTCAATCGTCAACTGTGGTACCTCCCATAGCCACTGCTGACATTGACCCCCAGCAGAACGATTCTGTCATTCATCTTGATTCCCCACCTCGTGAGGGTGAGACGGCTGATGGGACCGAGGAGGCGGGTCGACACAACCAGGATGCTGTCGGTACTGAGGCAGCTAGCTGGGACTCCTCCGGACTCTTTGATTCCATACTTTTTTGTAACAATGTGACTTGAATATCTCATTTTTTGTAAACTCAATGCTTATTATGAATGAAATGACAGAACTCTTTTTCCCTTTTTCCTTTGTGTTGTGCTCTGTTCAACCTATTTTCAATACATATATACCTTTTCTCTCTTTTCTTTTATATTAACTTTGTCGTGTGCTTGTTTATGGCAAGTGCTTGGCGTTCGGCTTATGGTGCCAGCTGCCACTTGTCTTGCTTAAGTGCCTGGCGCTCGGCTAGAATGCCACTTGCCACTTGGCTTTAAATTTTTAGCAAGTGTCTGGCGTTCGGCTTATGGTGCCAGCTACCACTTATCTTGCTTAAGTGCCTAGCGCTCGGCTAGAATGCCACTTGCCACTTGGCTTTAAATTTTTAGCAAGTGTCTGGCGTTCGGCTAATGGTGCCAGCTGCCACTTATCTTGCTTAAGTGCCTGGCGCTCGGCTAGAATGCCACTTGCCACTTGGCTTTAAATTTTTAGCAAGTGTTTGGCGTTCGGCTTGTGGTGCCAGCTGCCACTTATCTTGCTTAAGTGCCTGGCGCTCGGCTAGAATGCCACTTGCCACTTGGCTTTAAATTTTTAGCAACCCATTGAAGAGGAAAGTTATTTTTGTAAACTTCAGTAATTTGCACATTCATACGTACTTGATTGACAACAAATAACATCCAATTAAAGCCGAAACTTAGCTTTTATTGGTAGTACCTCTTCAGAGACGTGGCGTTCCAGGGCTTGCTGACCAACCTTCCCGCCATGGTTTCCAACGTATATGCTCCCTTGCCTATGACTTCTGCAATTCTGTATGGGCCTTCCCAGGGTGGCATCATTTTTTTGACTATCCCCACCTTTCTTTTCAGAACCAGATCGCCAGGGGCAAAATTCCTGTATTTCACTCTTTTGTTGTGACTATTCGCCAATACTTGCTGATATGATGCTAACCTTATAGCTGCAGCGTCCCTCCTTTCGTCTATCACATCGAGGTTCAATCTTAACATCTTGTCGTTCTGATCTCGACTCCATGCTAAGCTTCTGATAGTGGGGACCAAGTGCTCAACCGGTATAACTGCCTCGGTACCATATGCCATTGCAAACGGGCTCTCCCCAGTAGGCCGCCTTGGGGTGGTTCTGTAAGCCCATAGGACGTTCGGGAGCTCATCCAACCACTTCCCTTTATGTCTTCCAGCTTCTTCTTAATGCAGGCGAAAATGGTTCTGTTTGTGATTTCTGCTTGTCTTTTGGCTTGAGGATGGCTTACTGCAGCCAACTTCTGGTTGATTCCATACTCCTCCAGCAGCTCTCTTACTTGCCTGCTGTCGAGGTTCGTGCCATTATCAATGACTATTGATCTTGGAACGCCGAAACGGCAGATAATATTGTTCCAAATAAATCGTCTCACATGAGTCTGAGTCACGCTAGGATATGGTTCTGCTTCCACCCACTTAGTGAAGTAATCCGTGGCCAGTAACACATACTTGTTCTGAGCTCTTGCAGTTGGCAGAGGACCGACCACATCCATCCCCCATTGCGCGAAAGGCCATGGCGAGGCCATTACGTGCAATTCCTCAGGTGGTTGGTGGATCAATGGTCCATATCGTTGGCATTTATCGCACCTTCGAGAGAACTCCTCCGCATCTCTTGACATGTTTGGCCAGAAATACCCTTGTGTCATTGCTTTATGCGCTATCGATCTTCCCCCAGAATGATTGCCACACACACCCTCATGAATAGCTCGCAATACCTGCTGCGACTCCGCGGGGGTGACACACTTCAAGTATGGGCCAGAGTAGGATCTTCTGTACAGCTGGTTATGCACGATGGCGTACTTTGCAGCATTCTTTTTGAGTTTCCTAACTTCATCCCTTTGCATAGGCAAAACGCCATCTCGAATATAAGTAATGATGGGGTCAATCCAACTCGGTTCATACGGTATGACGTTGACTTGCCAAGGGTCAGAGTCCAAGGGTTCTTCGAAAATAGATGGCTGGGTCAATATTCCTACTGGAATCACCCTCGCCAATGTTTCACCGGAACTCGAAGCACTACATGCTAACCGGTCCGCATCTGCATTCTGTTCCCTCGGTAACTGTATGAATTCAATTTTTGCAAAGTCCTTGGCTTTATGCAGAACGGCAGAACGATATGCCCCCATCGTGTCATCCTTGGTCGCGTACTCACCATTTACCTGCCGAACAATCAACTGCGAGTCACTATAAACAGTCAAACTTTTGACCTGTAGCTCTCTGGCCAACTTTAACCCATTCAGCAACGCCTCGTATTCCGTTTCATTATTGGTGGCTCGGAACTCAAGTCTGAGTGCTTGACTCAAAGAAGTACCCTCTGGGGTTTGCAGTTTGACCCCAATTCCCGCCCCCATCTGGTTAGAGGAGCCATCCACAAAAAGTTTCTAAGAGCCGCATCTAAGGTCTTCTTCCGTATCCTCGGAATCACATTCTAGCAGGAAATCGGCTACCGCTTGCCCTTTGACAGCTGTTCTCGGCTCATACGTTATGTCAAATGAACTTAACTCTATGGCCCACTTTGTCATTTTACCCGAGAGCTCTGGCTTGTGCATAAGCGTTCTGATTGGAAAAGTTGTTAGAACAGCTATAGGGTGGGATTCGAAATAATGCCTCAACTTTCTTTTTGCATTTACAAGTGCAAGTATCACCCGTTCGGCCTTTGAGTATCTTTGTTCTGCCTCTGTCATTGTTTTGCTTACATAAAATACCGGGTATTGCACCCTTTCCTTGCAACGAATCAGAACGGCACTTGTCGCGACACCAGATACTCCAAGGTATAAAAATAACTTTTCTTCTGGATCCGGGGCTGACAGGACTGGTGGATTCTGCATATATTCCTTCAAATGGGTCAATGCTTGTCGTTGCTTATCCCCCCAGACCTGTCTTCCATGGCTCCGAATCGTGTCAAAGAACGGCTTGCAGCGATCTGACAATTTTGAAATGAATCGACTTAATGCAGCTATTCGTCCTATGAGGGCTTGCACTTCTCTGATCGTCTTTGGCTCGGCATTCTTAATCAAAGCCTCTGCTTGAGCGGGGCTAACTTCGATGCCTCTGCGATTGACCACGTGTCCCAAAAACTGACCGGAACTCACATCGAACGAGCACTTGGTTGGGTTGAGCCTCATCCCATATCGCTTTAGTACATCAAATACATCTTGCAGATGTTTCAGATGATCATCCTTCTTCCTACTCTTTACCACCATATCATCAATATAGGCTTCCACAATCTTTCCTATTTGATTCTTGAAAATTTTGCTAACAAGTCTTTGATAAGTTGCTCCCGCATTCTTTAGTCCGAAAGGCATAACTTTGTAGCAGTATGTTCCTCGCTCGGTTACAAAAGAAGTTTTTTCTTCATCTGCGGGGTCCATAGGGATCTGATTATAACCTGAATAAGCGTCCAGAAAGGTTAAACGCTCATACCCGGTGGTGGCATCCACCATTTGATCAATCTTAGGCAGCGGGAAGCTGTCCTTCGGACAGGCTTTGTTCAAATTGGTGAAATCAATGCATACTCGCCATTTCCCATTCTTCTTCTGCACGACAACGACGTTGGACAACCAATCAGGGTAGTGTACTTCTCTGATAAATCCCGCATCAAGCAGCCTATCAACTTCTTCCGCTATGATTTGATTGCGTTCTGGAGCAAATCTTCGTTGCTTCTGTTTCACTGGTTTGAAATTGGGATTGACATTCAGGGAATGACAGGATACGGAGGGATTAATTCCAGGCATGTCTAGGTGACTCCATGCAAATACGTCGGCATTGCGGGACAAGAAGTCCACTAGCTCTTGCTGCTCTTCTCTGGTCAGTCTTATTCCTACTCTGGTAGTTCGTTCTGGCCTGGACTGATCGATCTGCACATCCAGAAGGGGCTCTTCGGTCAAGTCAACTGACTCCTCCACCCTGTTTTGCTCGGGCGGAGGTTCCTGTAATTGCTATCTGGGGCTTGCCGGTCGGACGGACGCCTTCCCTTTCCCAGCATACTTTAGTGTGACGGAATAACACTCTTTGGCTGCAACCTGATCCCCCCGAATGTCTATCACTTTATTTCCATCGGGTCCGAGGCACCTCATGACCTGATGCAGAGTTGAGGGTACACCTTGGATTCTGTGAATCCATCCTCTTCCCATCAGGAGATTATACGAGGGGTGAATTTCTACAACTACAAAAGTTTCCATAAGAGCCCGTTCTGCAGCTTGAACTTCTACTTCCACCATTCCGACGGGCTCCACCCTCTTGCCATCGAACCCTAACAGGGGATTTCCAGTGGGCTTGAGCCTCTCTGGTTTAATCTCGAGCCGATCAAATGTGTTCCTCGGCATGACATTCGCACTGCTCCCGGGATCGATCAGAACTCTGCGCACCAAGCAGTCTGCCACTGTCAAACTGACTACCAACGGGTCTTCATGGGGGAGTTGAACACGCTGCAGGTCTGTCTAGTCGAACTTTATCTGCATCGACGAGATCTGCTGGTGTAGAGTATTCACACTGCTGACCCTTTTCTTCATCTGCGCCTGCCGTAGGCGCGTTCGAAGTAGCTCATCTGACTCTTCGCTAGGCTCGGGTCGACCATGGATAGCATTGATTATACGAACTGGTTGTGAATTGTGGGAGCTTTGTTTATGACTCCTTTTTATTTGTTCCACCGGTCGATTCTGCTCTATCGCCGAGCCTTGAACATAACTCGCGAACTCCCCTCTAGCTATCAACATCTCCACTTGCCTCCTCAAATTCCTGCATTCGTTAGTCTGATGACCGAAATCGGAATGGAAAGCACAATGTTTAGTCTGATCCCTCTGTTCGAGGGGTTGCCTAATTGGCAGTGGTGGATGAAACTTATCTTTGTTCTCCTGATATAGCCTCGCCAGAGTGACCTTCAGCGGAGTAATCAGCTCTTCCTCCCTGGACCTTTTTTCTGCCTTCCAGGAGGTCTGACGTTGCGGCTGAGCCTGCTTCTGCCTGATCTTTGCCTTGGACTTTTCCTCGGTCGACACGAGCGACGCTGTCCGAGCATTAGCTGCCTCCTCTTCTTCTAGGCGCACAAAGCCATCGGCTCTTTCATTGAGTTCATCCATAGTCGTCGGCGTGTTTACTACCAGACTGGTGTGAAACGGAGTTCCACGTGTCATGGCTAACTTGAAGGCTTGAACTGCTGTAGAAGGGTGGCATTCGATCACCATACTCTTAGTGAGATTAAACCTGGTGAGAAAAGCCTGGAGACGTTCATCTTTGTGCTGTCTCATTGTGAATAGGCTCGAGATGTCCTTCGGCGGACGCTTGTTCCCATAGTACTGGCTTATAAACCGATCGCACAGGTTTCTGAAGCTACCAATGGAGCTCCTAGGCAAGTTTTTGAACCAGCTGAGCGCCGGTCCGGCTAGGCTTGTAGGGAAACATTTGCACACTAAAGAGTCGTTTTCCGTATTCAGGGCCATTTTCAACTGGATATGGTACACATGATCGATCGGATCGGTTGTTCCGTCAAACAGAATAAAGACTGGCATAGCAAACTTCCTTGGATGCGGGGCATTCAGGATCTTGTCGGTGAATGGTGAATCAACCGTCCGAGCTGCGGATCGGAGAGCTTCATTCTCTCTCTGGAGTCCAGCGGTAGCTCTGTGAGTTACGGTTCTGCCCTCCGAACCGCGATGAGTGATTGTAGCCATGGAGGGCCGGTAAGACGGATCGAACGACCGTTCCTCTATGAACTCTCTTTGCCAAGACGACGCTACTCGACGGCGATCAACCTCTATCGCTTCCTCTCGGTCGAACCTTTCCCGATGCGGATCGAAGGTTATGGCTTCATTCTGTCTAATCTGCTCATGTCGCGGATCAACGTGAGTCGATCCTTCGTGATCCTCAACTCGACGAACATTTGGCGGCAAATTGTCCATCATCCTTTCATCACGGTGGTGAGCTGACTGATTGTTCTCGTCCTGCTCGCCTTGACGCGCGATATTAGATTGAACACCTCCTTCACCGACCGGAAGTGGATGCGAAACCACAGGTATTTGCTGATGTTGCATTCCAGCTTTCAATTCTGCATTCTCTTTTTTGAGAGCTGCGATCAAGTTCATCAACTCCTCAAGCTTTGTTTGCTGGACAGCCTCCATCGGATTGGAGCTTTCACCTATCATTATTCCTGAACGGAGTAAAGGCATTAATCTCAAGTTCGCGAGTAGATCCGAGCTTCGTGAGTGGGAATTTTTCAGATCTGGTTTCGAATTCTCCGAATTATGCTCACCGTTGACGAGATCTGAATTGTCTGAATTCTAAATCCGTCAGATCCTACCACAATCGAATAACTCGTTGTTGCGTAGATCTAAAGCCACTTCTGCCAAAGCTTCAAGAACTGAAATTCCTCCAGAGTAGGTCACAATCGCTCAGATCTGGATCCAACTCCCAAAGATCGAGTCTCGATCAACCGAATTGGTCTGAATCCACTCGATATTCCTCATTGATCAACCAAACTTCCATGCGATTCCCACAGACGGCGCCAATTGAAGATACAAGAAATTCCTTCTCCCACTCTCTCTCTAGAATTCCTATATCTCAACCAAAAAGATCCCCCTTTCTTTACCTTACTCCTCCTATTTATAGAGATTTACAAATGTCGATGGACTGCTGGATCTAGGCCCGTTCCTTCATGAGTCCCGGTCCTCTTTGATGGACCTATGCGCGTTCGGCCCATATGGTAGTGCCTTTTTATGGACCTGACCCACCTGTACGGACTCAATGCCGCGTTTGCAAGTCATATCCGGCCCATGTCCTATCGGGCCTCCTCAGAACATAACTAGGAGTCTCAGACTTTGAGAGTGATTTTAAATGCCCTTTCTTTACTACTCCCCCGTTACGGTCAACCTGCGACTAATATGTTTGGGACGTACGTGTCATCTTGCCAAGTCCTTTACTGGACACATGTTCGGCTAAAAAACAACTGCTTGTGTGTGAACTCCATTACTAAGAGTACCCACTAACGTTTTCCATTATTATTATTATTATTATTTATTTTTCTTTTTCTTTTTCTCCACAAACAGCAGACTGATGCATTTTGTTTCTACGATAACTTAAATTCTGAGAAATAAAAAAAAATTAAGAAAAAGTACGTTTGTATAATACTCTGTATATGATATAAATTATTATTTTTAAAAAGTTGAATGTTCGATCATGTAAAAGCAAAACATATGATGAATGCAGAGTGGTGTGGCACTATCTTTATGTCAATACATTTATACGTGTTAACTTCGTCATTGTACGTTAAAATTAGTGTGATTTTTAAATCTTTTAGTGTAATTCAAACCACAACCACACAAATCCCCAACTTGTTACATTGTTGCAGATAAAACCATGTAAATTCTGACCTTAAAGCATTGTAAACATAGAAATCACGAGGGGCAATTCAAGCTTTTTATTTTATTTTTTTATTTTATAGTAAAAGTACAATTCACAAGATCCTCGGTGGAGAGTGTCAGTGGTCCTTGCCGTCCACATTCATTATCAAACAATCCCTATTGAAATAAAAAGTTCCAAACCCTTAAACCATCACCTCTCTATAACTCAAATCATCACCACACAAAACACTTCCAAACCCTTAAACCATAGTAGTGCTTTTTTTTTTTTGGGTTCAATTGTCAACTACCCTATTGAAAATATAAATTACATATTTGAGTTATAGAACATGATTTCATAAAACTGTACAATTTTTTCAATTCAAATCATGCAAGTTGCATGAAGAAGATCTGGTTCAACATGTTCTATTTGATACAAGTAGGAGAAGAACCCCACTTAGAGTCCGAGGGATTCGATAAAAAGTTTCCTTGACCGCATGTAGATGGAGAAAAAAATTGACATGGATTTAGTTTGTTTCACATGAATCACATGCCGTAGCAAACTTTTGGGATCCTGCCGTGACTATTATAGAGAGGTGATAAGTAGTCAAAATTCACTCGTGTTTGTGAACCACAAAGGCTATTTTATCATATTAATCACACTTCTTTTTTTCTTTTTGGGTTCATCTTATGGTTGAGAGAGTTCCATATGATGGCACACCAATTGCATAAAATAATTGTGAGATTGGCCACAAAATCAAAGAAAGGTTTTCTTCAATGGTTAATATGAGCATTCCCATTGGAGCATTTCACTGATTTACAGGAGCATTTCACTCACACAACTCAGCCTATTTTGATGAAACAATAGTCACTTCTCATATACTATGAGAAATTATAAGATAGTTTTGATCATTAAAACTTGATAAATCATTTAAATTTAGATTCTCAAATTGAAAAAATAATCATATAAAAGTGTATTAATATATTACAAAATGTCATGATCAAAAGGCTACTATTGAATTAGTCCACCAAATATCAAATAAATCAAGATTATTTAATAATATTTTAATATTCTATCTCGGTCGCAAATTAAATATCACTTTTTGAGATTATAACCTTTTGAAGATAATTGTAATCAAGAGCTAATATTGTTTCCGTGCCTAAAACAAATGTTAACGGTGACAAACTCTGTTGACTGGGCGGCTATATACCTTTGTATGGTACAGATACATATAATTGTGAAAAACAAAGACCTCCAATAGGAGTCATCTGTCAACATGAGTTGGCCTGCACACATTCCAAAAAATTTCAATATGTATATATATATCAATATATATATACATATATACATATCCTTTGTTTTGTCAGTTTTATTGGAGATTACTTCACAAAAAAAATTCGCAAATTGATGGAAAATTGTCATCAATTGATGTTGAAATATTGACTTATTTGACACGCTGTAAAGAAATGTGTGTACGCATTCACATAAGAATGGAGGCTCAAATTGCATTCATAATACACACATAAATAGGTACGAAACTTCTCAAATTACACAAACAACAACAATAATAATAAATAATTGAATTATTGTTATAGTAATTTAACAAAACCAACTCATTGTTTAGGGTAGTTTGGCTTCTGCTTTATGTGGCATTTGAACACCTCAAAACAGAAACAATTTGTTTCTGATTCAAATTAAAGCAAAAACAATACACGTCAATTATGATTGTCAAATGACCCCCTAGGCTTTGAACTCATCTCATTTACTTAATAAACTAACATCAATAGATCAATCATATGGATCGAACTATTAACTCACCAATAAGTCAATCCATAAAATTTTTAAAACGCAATAAGCTTACAATGAGGTTTTGTCTCCATCATGAAAAATTATTTTTATGACATCTAACCATTACAATTACATCATAATTTACCATATATTAATTTAAAACAAGAGTTAATATATAAAAGGCAATCATATATATATTCTTTTTATCTGCCTTGCCAACGCATCTGCATTATCCAAAACATGTCCAGAATCTCCCAGTAAGCTTCTTCAGATGTCCTGATAATTCCTTATCCATAGTTTTCAACGTATGCATGTCCAATTCATGTGAGTGAGTCAATTATGCAATCACGACAGGAAGATTTATCTATATATTAATTATTGCACACGTTTGTCTTAATGTATACTACGGACGCAGATTTGTTGCAATAATGTGTGTGTGTGTGTATATATATATACACATATGTATATAGTAGGATGACGTGTTTCATGCATGAATATATAAATATACGTATATATATTATATGTATGCGTACGATTATTATCATAGAATGTGATGTTTTGATACAATCAAGGATAGGATAAAGATGAAATCAATGAGATAAACCCGCAGTTTAAATTGTGTTTTGGTTTGTGATTATACTTGATTAATATAACACTAATAATAGGCCAAAGATGTAAAAGTTATCTCATGCATGCACGATACGTCGTATTGTCAATGAAGTTTTATGAGAGCACTTAGTGGCAAGTATATACCAAAAAAAAAGGGTTAAATAATTAAACATGATTCTATTTAATCCAGAGTTTTTGCAGGGGAGGTCATCAGCAAAGTACATTCCAAGTTTTTTTGGGGGGTAAGGTAGTATATTCCATGATGTTATCATTGATTTGATGCAGAAGAAATAAATGAATGAATATTGCGTGCAAAGAGTTTGTATTATTCAAGAATAGATGGGAAATCTAGACATACACAGTGTACATATATTTCTAGTGCCCAATTGGTAAAAAAGTCAGACACTAAGTGCCCTATTGGTAAAAAAACTTTCTTAGCCACACACTTATTGTGCCCAATTGGTAAAAAAGTCAGACATTAAGGGCCTGTTTGGAGGCTCATATCTGTTATTATTTTCATGTTTTGGTTTTATTTTTGGGCCAATATCATGTTTGGAGTGAGCTGATGTGATATTGAACAGTGTAAAAACATTATGAGATTTGGGCCAAAACCCATATCAAAGAATTGTTGATATTGGGTGATATGGTATACTGTAGTGGCCGTATCAACCAAAACCAAAACCATATCAACCCTTGTTTAACTGTAGCGGTGATATCAAGTATAAAAAATCACATATCAGAAAACCTACCATTTTTCATCGTCATTTTCTCTCTCATCACGTAGCTCCTTTGGAGGCGATTTCATGGGCGACAAGTATTCGACATCCTTTTCCTTACACCTTCGTAGCTAGTTAGATCTATCTCAACCTTCCTTACATCGTCGTTGCTAGGATGCAGATCGATCAACCCTCCCGTACTTGGTTTTCAGCTCAATCCTCTCTTTGTTATGTATTTCTGTGACCCGAATCTGAAACCCTAAAGTTGTTCGTAACCACAGATCGACGCTCTTTCAGGTGCTGTAATACCCCTACTTTAAAAAGGGATAATATTGGAATTTAAGTGTTATTTTATGTGCATTTTTTTATTTTATTTAGTAATTTTATGATTAAGTGCTTATGTGGCAAATTGTTTATTTGTGTGTATTAATTGATTTTTTTGTTAATTATTTATTTGCGTTTATTATTTTGGTTTAATTGCCTTAGTTGAATTATTTAACATTATTTGCATTAATTGACTTAATTGGATAATTTGATTTAATTGATTTATTATTGTTTTATTTAAATGGAATTTAATTGTAGGTTTTGATATGGGCCAACTCGGATTAAGTTTAGGGCTCTATCTTCCTCTTTCCCTTTGGGCCGTGTTCTGTGCACCTAGATGATCTCTAGGGAATAACTAATCAATGATTGAAACCTACATGTTTATTATATGCTTAGGTGATAGTCTGTTTGTTTTAAAATCCAATATATTTACAGTTCGTGTATATTTATTTCAGTATCCTGTACGTTAGGTATATTGATTCTGTTGTAAATTTAGTCTCTGTATTTGATTGCAACTTTTGTAAACACAATATAGGAACACTACTGGGGTTATACAAAGCTTATAGGGATGCTATTATTCTATTTTAAATACGTGTTGCAATCCGTTCCGCTTCAATTTGCATATGGTTCCAGTGTTCATACTAACAGTATGTTAAGTTGGGTAGCAAACTTAAGCTTTGTAATTGATTTAAATTGCTATAATCAAACCTTGGGGATGCTATCAGGAGGGTGTTAGATCCTTTAGATCAGTTTAAGAAACAAGCAGAGGGGTAGGAATTGATCGGAGAAGGAGCAGATTGGCGGAAACGGAGCAGAGATGAACTGGAGGCTCTCAAGAGGGAGAGAGCCGGCTCTAGAAAGTCAAGAGCCGGCTCCCCTTCAGCAAGAGCCGGCTCCAATTTGTTTTACGTCCAGAAATTGTTTTCTAGGGCTCTGTTTGGTGTTTTGAGCACTGTTTGAGCTTCTGAGTGATTCTAATGAACTGTAGGGACTTAACAGAGGATCTAAGTAGTTAATTCTAAGTGTTATTAAACTTATTGTTGCATAGTTTAAGTCTCTAAGATAAAGGATGTAGCAGTGTAAAAATATACAACGGTGTATGCTACTAACAGAAGAAAGGAACTAATTGGCTTGATTAAATTTTAGAAATTTAATGAGACTTCACGGAGGGATTAAATAGTTAATTTTTGGGTGTTATTAAGACCCTAAATTGATTTAAGGTTAGTTCTAAATTAACGGATCAAACTGTATAACACTTATGTACATTGTATACGGTTAGTGGATAGATGAAGTTTTAAATACTTAAACTTATTTTTAGGCATTCCAGTGGGATTTAATATATTTATAAAATGGTTTTAAATATATTATAGGGTCATTGATGTGTTAGATGTGATCTATGCAGGCTCTGGATGTTAGTGGTTGAATTATGAAATCATTCCTTACAACTATATGGTTTAAATACTTGGATTTAATTGCAAATACTTGGATATTGGTTTTGGATTATAAATCGCTAAACGATTATATATATATGTGGAATTTTAATTGCTGAATTAATAGATTCTGTCAATTACATGGTTGTGGAGGATGGTATGAATCGGTATGGGACGGTGTCATACTAGGGATGGTTTAGCTCAAAACGCATAAACCTAACCTATTGGATTTAAGGGAAGGATTGTAAAATATTGAATCCTAAACCTTGTTTAGTCAGATCGACTGATTAAGTTGAAAGACTATCTGGATTAATTGTGTTTGTGTGTAGTCGGATCGACTGATTAAGTTGAATGACTACCTGGATTAAATGTTGGTTGTGTTTAAGTCAGGTCGACTGATTAAGTTGAATGACTAAACTGGATTAAAATTCTTATGTCAATTCAATAAACAATAAAATGGCATACCTTGGGTTAGACGGACTTTATATATATGTTATGGCACCACGATATGGGCATGAGTCTCAGAGTCGTTGGTTAGGGAGCGTATGTGCATTGGGATGCATAGCTGGATATGATGGTTGAGGTGTACCCTGTTAGGACTAGGTATTCATGCCCACCTTTGGGTACGTTTTTGCATGTTGCCTTCTACTCAGGTTGAGACCCCATTATAGTCCAGTGAAGGTCCTCTAGTGTGGATATATTTATGTATGGACTAGATAGATATTGTGAGGTATTTAAGTGTATCTGCGTATTGGGTCACTGTATGGATTGCAGTTAGATTAGAACTTGTTCGTGGGCCTGACCCACCCTTCTATTATTTTTTTTCAGGTGTTCGTTAGCTTCAGTCATAGAGCTGGATCGTGCTGAACAGATACAGTCATTCACTCCACCGTTGGCATAGGATTGTATTTCATGTGGTAGAATTGAGTTTTATTTCCAGTTCTTTTGAATACAGTTGGGATTTGAATAGGGGTCCACTAGGTGGATTCTCGAGTTGTATATAGAGGATCAGTTGTATCATAAAGGTTATTTATTAATGAAATTTTATTTCGGGATTTCATTCAATGGATTATCATTTTAGTTTTCTATTCAGCAAATTTTATTTATTCTTATTTACTTTAAAATTGTACTCTGTGTTCATCAATTGCTAATTTGTTTGATATCCTCGGGTAATCGGGCGTGGGCCTGGCTAACCCGCATCCGGAAATTCGGGGGTATCACAGGTGCTCTTTCCCTCTGTCTCTGTCTCTCTATATATATACAGTAGCAAAATCCAGATTCTCGATTCTCAGATCTATGTCTGTTGTATGATTTGTCTCTATTTTCGCGCATCTCTTTGATGCGATTTTGGGGTTTCAACTTCAACCCTTCTCAGTTCATCAGTCGTTGTGCGAGGTAGTTCGAGGCTTTTGTATACTCTTATATCAATGTACACATTTTTGTATGCGATTTTGGGGTTTCAAATTATTGAAGGAACATTTGGAGAAATCTGGATGCAGCATTGGGGATAAGTTCATCAAGCCCGTTCATTGTGACAAGCATATCAGTGGCGGTTACGTCCGGGCCGAGGGGGTAATGATTCTCTCTGTTATACTCTTATATCGATGTACACATTTCTGTTTAACTGAACAAATAAATTTCAATGTCAAAGACTCATTTATAGGTGTGAATTTAATCTTTTAGTATAGGTTTCAAATACTTATCAAAAACCAAGCTCAAATTATAACCCCAGTCACTTCTTAGTGATTACAAGTTGTTTCTGATTACATCATGACGATTTTAAAGTTTTTGTGCCTGAAACTTATTTGATCCAAAGACCTGAATTGAAAGATTAATTTTGGAAAGCACAAATCTTATAGTGAATTATTAATTAATTGTTCATCCACTCTCCAAATTTTGTGGTACCTTTGAAACTCACACATTTAAATTTAGGCCAAAGTATAACTTACTTTTCAAATTTCATCTGAATTTTCGTGTGTGATAAAAGTTGCTTAACTAAATACATACTTCAATATGTTAAAGGTGGAGTCTAAATAATGAAATAATACTATTTTTCTGTTTATTCCCTTAAACCTGGTGGTTTAGTGTGTGAATGATCACTTACAATGTCAATGAGATATGGTTGGCACTGGAGCTGAATTATCATCAAGTATAACTATCTTTTGATTGAACAATTTTAGTAAACTTTTGGCACCTTTTCTTTCTAAAGTCATCTTGATTGATCAAGTTATCTTTTGTCAATTATCAAGATCGATAGTAAAATTTGTTCTCTTTTAAAAATCCTTTTTCTTTTTTCTTTTTTCTTTTTTCTTTTTCAATTTTGTGTCTGCCTTCATCAGAGTGTTTCATACTGATCTGTGTTGTCTTCTTTTTGTTGGATGACATTTTGACATACTTATGCCATTTCTTTTTCTATATTTTGTGGTTTTCAGATAGTGGTATGTAGTAATCACATGAACATTCAAGATGAGGTCAATAAAGTTGTTATTTATGAGCTCATTCATGCATATGATGACTGTCGTGCTGCAAACTTGGACTGTTATAATTGTGCTCATCGTGCCTGTAGCGAGGTTTGCGTCCCTATGCCAGCAGACTATTTTCTTGCAGTTTGTTTGTTGGAGTTTCTGTAATTCATTTTTCTATATTCCATGTGAAACAGATTCGTGCTGGTCATCTAAGTGGTGATTGCCACTACAAGCGGGAATTGTTGCGGGGTTTTGTGAAGATAAGAGGTCATGAGCAGGTGATTTCATTTTCTTTAAAAAAATTATAAAGTTATATTACGAATCTTCTTTCTGAACATCCACCATTTTGGAAGGTAAACTTGTCAATCTAATCTCTCGCTAAGCTTATGATGTACTTTAGTTTATTAGCAGATACACATATATTTCTGGTGGGTACCCCATCAACATATATTCATTACATAAGTTATATGTACAGTTATTTAAAGTTAATGAGAAAAAGACGCAACTTTAGAGAGAGGTGGGAGTTTAATGTTTTAAGATTCAAGACTTCTAATTTTTCTTCCCCCCTCCCCCTCTTTAATTCAATGTTTAATATATTGATTCTTTTTTTAAGATTTATGCTAATTTTATGTTATTCGACAATTTTTAAGCCTAACCTTTATTTTCAATTAAAATTGCAATTAGTAAGATATGCAGTAGTACTCTTTTTCAGCCATGGTTTATTCTCTTTTTCCAGAAAAGCAGAAAACACATATTGTTGAAAGTGACTAAAATATTCTTGGCATCCCTATTGGGTGAATTTTTGTACATATCTTTTCATCTATTTTTCTCTCTTGTCAAAGGCAAAGCTATGCAGTAGTGCAGTACATGCACATGCTACGTATTTCTGAATAAAATGTCACTTGTGAATTTAAAAGGACATAGCTGAATGATTCTAGGATGGGCAAAGTTTGGAAAGAAGTGGATCATAACACAACTGATTGTTTCATGCATTGGGTTTTAGATGCAAAGCATTTATTCATCTCACCATTAGCCTTTGCACTTGTGTTTCTTTGAATTGTGTGTGCTTGTCTGCATGTTAGATTTGCATATGATAGTTGCACTATTTTAAATAACTTTTCCTTTTCAGTTAAAGAAGTGAGAGTAAAATAATCATTTGAGAAGGTAATTTTGGGTTATTTTTTCCTTGCAAAATCCTGAGAGCCAATGATCACTTGCTCTTTGAAGGAATCACATCAAAGGCAATTCAATACTGTACGACCATGGTTTCAAAATCAAAAATCAAATTTGTTATTTGTTATTTTTATTTTCTTTCTCTAGGTAATCGCACACACCCATTTGTCCAATTGCATGAGGTCATTTACACTTTAAATTTATAACTTAGCCTGAAAAAAGGTCAGATATATCTTACTTACTACTTCATAATTATTTCATTCCTACCGTATGTTATTTTGTTTTTCTCTAATGTTGTTCATGTGTTTTGTTTTGCATGAGGTCATTTACACTCTAAATTTGCAGCTTAGCCTGAAAAAAGGTTAGATATATCTTGCTTGAATTAAATTTGTGGACGGTCTCCCTTGTTAAATGAATTTTGTGGGTGGTGTCCCTTGTTGAAATGAATTTTGTGGGCGGTGTCCCTTGTTGAATTAATTTTGTGGGCGGTGTCCCTTGTGTATATTGTGTTTTGGAATTTTGGAAATGTCCATTTTTAAGGAGAAATCATGCCGAATTTTTTATAAAAAAAAAATTAAAAAAATTGAATTTAACTCTGCTTTATATTTTATGGAATGTCCAGTGGGATTGATAGGAAGCATTTTCCAGTTGCTGCAACTCCAGGAAGCTAGTGATCTCTAAGTTAATCAAATGGAGGCCTATGCAAGTATAAAGAAGTGGGTGTACATTTTATGGAATGAATATTAGTGATCTCCAGTTTTGTGCACATTTTAAGTTAGTGTAATGAAGTGTATATGTACACATATACTATTTTTAAGGAATGTCTAGCTCCTTATATGTGGAAGTATATATGTGAATGGTGCAACACTCAAGTTTTTAAGATTGTGATGTACAAAGCAAAACTATAAGTGGAAGTATATATGTGAATGTTGTTCAGTCTTGTAAGAGAGGGATCTTCCTTGATTGCATGTTTTTAATCTTTATTCATATTTATCAATTCTGCTTATGGTTGGAGATTGTATGAAATATTCAGAAGTCGGTTATCAAAATAAATACTCAAGAAAAGGGGAAATGGTCTCGTGACTAAACAAAAAAAATATTACCAATTTGAAGGACCTCCAATACAAAATTTTAAACTAATCTAAGTGAAGTAAAACTATTCACAAGCTTCACTGTCCATCAAATCTCAACTCTAACTAATTCAAGAAGATCAATGTTTTGGCTTTTCTTGTTAGTTTCAATTACAAGGATCTTTCTCTTACATTCATCATGAATTTATATAATATATATATATATATATATATGAAACAAAACAAAACAAAGTTAAATGGAATGTAAGTCAAAAGAAAAAGATAAATGGAATGCAAAGATCTCCTAAGTGGCTTTGTTTTTTTTAGTTTGGTTGCCACTATACATATAAATTTATTCATAATTTTTTTTTTCAACTTTAATGTAGAATATATATATATTTTTTAATTTTAACAAATTATCTCAAATCATAAAGAAAAATAGACTATTTATATATAAACTTATAATTATATTCATATATATAATTTTTCAAAACAAAAACAAAACTGTTATTAATTCAAAATTTTTGATAACAAAACTAACCTCCCAAACGTGTTTTGTTTTCGGATTCTTTAAAATGCATGACAATACCAAACGTGTTATTATGTTTCTGATATACAATTATCAAAAACAAAACAATCGTTACCAAATATGGATCCGATTTCTACTAAAAACATACCAATACCAAAACGATTGTTTTCATATCATACCAAACCATAACATATAACGTTATCGCCATCCAAACGGACCCGCCCCATTCTATATGTTTTTGGTTTGAATTTCATTGCACCCAACCTCCACTAACTCCTAAGTCCTAACTGATCGTTGCCAGGTAAAAAATAAATAAATAAAGTAAAAAAAAAAATTACATGACGTCTAGCACTACTAATATATAATGTTTTAGTAAGTATTATTTTTTTATTATAAAATATGGGTTTAATTTTTCATTTAGTAATAAATAGTGTTCAATAAAAAAAAATTCTTTATATTTAGACAAGATAACCTTCTAAGGGTCTGTTTGAAAAGTATTATGATATATATATTTTTAATATTTGTATTCAAATTTTGGTTCATATTATGTTTGGAATAGTTCATAATATATAATTTTTTGGCCTAAACACATATCATCAAATAAATGATATTGTCTGTTTTGATACTGTAGCTGAGAAACTTAAAACAAAATTTTGAATTTTTCTATACAAATTTTTATTAGTGTTCCGGTTTTTACCCAAAACACATGACCCTAAGGTGTTTATCTCGAACGAATAGGTAACAAAAATTGATGTGTAAATTTATGTTTTACCTTTTCCAATTATACGAGCACACTTTGATCTTGTTTAAAAGGTCTTCTCAATAGATGAGCCCCCCACCCTTATCAGCTCCATGAACACTCTGATTGTTGCTATTCTATTTTTGTATTTTTGAGGCATTGGGCCTCTATTCGGCTTGTTGCACTTCTATTTTTGTATATTTGAGACATTGTGCCTCCGTTCGATCTGTGTTTGTGGTTCCCCTGGGTCATTTTGGGCCGCGTTTGTTTTCCTTTGTTGCCAATTGGTCTCTTCCTGTTGTATATTTTTCTTCTAATAAATACTCCGTAATTTTTAATTACCAAAAAGCTCATTTTTAGCTATCAATTTCAAGCTACAGAGTAATATTTTTATTTAACCGTATTTGATTAAAAATTCTAAATTATAAAATAAATGAATAAAAATTATATATATATGGAAATAACTAGGAGTATTATATTTTTAATCAATCAGAGTTTTCACCATCTCTTCACTGAATTGCAACCGTTAATATACAGTTTACATATAACTTCAAACACCAAGAAGAAGCTTTTGTGTTTCATGAAACAAATCCCAACACATCAACCACTTTTAATAAAATGAAGCAAGGACAACTCAATCAAATCAACAGAGATTGGGATTTTAAATAAAATTGAACTGAAAGCACAATTGGAGTTAAAAACATGACAATTTCATTAAAAACCAGATATTTGCAATCCCATGACAGAATCACAATTACAGCAATTCAAAACACCTAATATTGCTAACTTCTAAAACCAACATTTACAGAAACAACTTACTTCTAAAAACCCCCATATTACAACTGATAATCAACCACCGAATCCATACAGAGTCCTACCCTGCCTCTTCAAAGCATAAACCACGTCCATGGCGGTCACCGTCTTCCTCCTGGCATGCTCGGTGTAGGTCACGGCATCGCGAATGACGTTCTCGAGGAAGATCTTGAGAACTCCACGAGTCTCCTCGTAGATCAGCCCGCTGATCCTCTTCACACCACCTCTTCTGGCCAGACGGCGGATCGCCGGCTTCGTAATGCCCTGGATGTTGTCCCGGAGAACTTTCCGGTGACGCTTGGCACCTCCCTTGCCCAAGCCCTTCCCGCCCTTGCCTCTTCCGGACATTTTTAGAGAGAGAGAGTGAGATCTAGGGTTTTCGAATTGAAGGACTGAGTTCCGATTCGGTGTGTTGTGGGAGTGAATAGTGAGGGTATCTGGTATTATAAGGAGGGAGGGTTTGTGTTTTGCACTGGTCGAGGAGAATTAAGACCGTTGGATTTAGAATGTTTATCGACGGCTGAGACAATGATCCGTGTGGAGCGGTTTAGATAGTTTTGGTCCGTCGATAGTGATAATATCGACGGTTGATAATGCTTAGTTGCATGACGCCAAGGATCATGGTTTTTTTGTGCGCTATATGTGTTTTCGACATTGTGACGAGGTCCGGATTGAATTTGAATTTGAAATTTTAAAGCATGGAGATGGAGCGCCATCAAAGGCTCAAAATTTTCAGTTTCCTTAAACGAATTCCGAATTAAATACGATACTTTCAAATGCAATATAAATGAGTATATTTCATACCTTTCGGATTGTACGCATCTTGTTGAACTCGTGTAATCGAATGACTGAAATTGTTCAAACTTTTGTTTTGTGTGTGCATTTTTTATTTATTTATTTATTTTTTTTATCAGTGGCATGCGTTCATTATGGAACACATACAATCTCAGTAGTGAACCAAATAATTGTATGATATTTGTTGAGAAGCACATATATAGATATAAAAATATGGCATGACAAAGTATAGTATGGCAATACAGCAAATTTTAAAACATAGGATAGAATACAGATATGAAACAACAATACAAAAATAAAAAAAATTATATTTTTATATATACAAAAAAAATATATTTTTTTTTTCAATTTTTTAAAAAATTAGGAATCTAAATGTAATTATTAATACAACAAAAGAGTTAATTTTATAAGAAGTAAAACATGTATCATTTGGTCTAACACTTAATATATTTTCAATTTTCTTAACAATTATTCTACAATATTGTTGTTCGAAAAATTGCATTTTAAAATATAACTTTACCATAAAAAAATAACATTTTACATTGAAGATCCTCTAAGCATCACAAGTTCAAATGAGAAAAACAACCATGGATTTGAAAATGGGTATGTAGATTGTGAAATTATTATATTTGAAAAGGGTATGATATTTTTGTTATTGCCCATCACATAATAAAGGATAAAATAGTCTTTTTCTTCTAACAAAGAGCAATATTGATATTTTACTAATACAAATATCAAGCATATGAGCAAAAATTTTTGTTACTCCTTCTGCCCCATTTTACCGTGACTCACAATTTTTTTATAATTATCTAAAAATAATTTTTATTTTATTTTTTATTGTCTGAGTTCTTAAAAATTGTTTTAAAAGTTATAAATTCATACCCTTAATTTAATTTTGCAAGTATTTATAAAAAAAATATCTCATTTACCATTCATCCATTCCAGAATACTCTTCCTCAAGGCCTACACTAGTTAAAAAGGCTTCAATCATAATAGATCTACTAGACTACTATAGGCGTCAAATGGCAGAACTGTTGGTTCCATAAGAAAAGAAAAGATCCACACAAAGTACACTAAAAAAAATAATTTGGACATAATCCTTCCTTCTCTCTTTTTGCCACGACAAATTTGATACATTGCCTAGTATATAATCATAAATGACATCTTGACTCGACTCAACATTACCTACAGAAATGAGAATCATAGGCTCACGCCCCATAGCATGATGCAGAAACTGAGAACACACACCATCTCAGGTGTCTGCTTACATGTAAACTGAAATACCTACAAATAAGTGAAGATAGAAATGAGAATCATAGACTCATAGCATGAATACCCTTCTTATTCAGAACCTGAAAACACACACCATCTCAAGTGTATCCTTACATGTGAACTAAAATTTTTCATGTTGTTTTCACCAAAATTTGAAGGGGAAAACGCCTCAATAAATAAAGTTGGTCGTTGTGAAGACAAAATAAGCTCTTATAAAGCATAAACTAGTACTCTAAGAAGCACCTTTTATGTGGAAACTTAAACAAAGACCTGCTAGATATCCAAAACAAATTCGCATGTTATGGAAAGCAAAATGGATTGATGGAACTTCTCCACGCCTCAAAAAGCAGCCACATCAGAAAGGAAAGGTACTCAGCATGTTCTTCCTTACACAAAATAAGTAAACCCTAATTTAAGCTGAAACATTCAGAATTTTAAATGCATTTGCAGATTGCACATTGACAGAATCATGCAATATATTTCCACTTTACCTGTTGACATTTTCCTTGAAAAATGTCATTACGCCATTACTTGCAAGATGCATCAGTGGCTGGATAAGATTAACTCTACAAAATCATATGCATTTAAATAAACAAAATCAACTATACATAGAGGAGAGCCACAAGATTCCAAAAGAAAAAAAGAAAAAAAAAAGAGAGAGAGTAAACATACACATACAACTACCCCAACCAAAAGAATACATTATAGATACAAGTGCACAAAAGATGGGAAGCAAACTAAGGTTTCAATTCCATCTCTGATGGCAATGGAAATCTTGATCAACTTGATGCAAACCTGCTAACAAGAGGAACTGTTTAATGTGAGAAAAAACATAAAATCAAGTTAAAAATAATAGTGAGTGTCCGCAGAATATTTAATTTATATTGTTCGGTAAGTTAGCAACCGAAGTTCTCTGGCTATTGCAATCACCTGAGCTGTGCTGTCACCATAAGATGTTCATGATTCATAAACTATTTCTCTTAGTTATGCCATCAGATTTAGAACTAGCCCACACAAATGACCACAGTTTTCTTCATTTCTAATTGAATTTGTATCAAACGCTCTTCTGTAAATATATTGTTAGGTAACTTCTCTTCCGATTTTCTACATAGGAACAAAGTGATGCTACTTTGCGAGCTCCTAGGGCTTAGAGGGGGGCGAGGCAGGGGGAGAGGATATCTTATGTTTTTTGCTGCTATTCTTTTTATAAAAACTTGTCCTCTCTAATTATGCATATAATGCTCACAGTCAAGATTCATCTTTACTGCACAATGATTTGTGCAAGACTGCAGTGGTTCCATGGCCATCAAAGAAGACACTCTGACACAAGCAGGTGCAATACATTAAATTCAGTTGACTACCGTAATGAATGAGTTGGCAGCACAAGAAAATCCCCATGGAATGTGGTGGAATCAGAAGAAGTGTTCCCCCTATAGTCTGAAGAGACTAACCAACATGATCCCTAATTTACATGCAAAGATCAACTACGACAAAAAGATTTAATCAACAATCTAGAGATTTCTCTTCTTGAAACTTGTATTTACTGCGGATGTTATATTATATTACCATAAAAACACAATAAACACTAAGAAATGCACACTTTTTGTTAGGGACTACCCGTTTACATGTATGTCTCAACAAGCTTAATTGATAAAATGGGCACTACACAAAGAGATTTAATCAACAATCTAGAGATTTCTCTTCTTGAAACTTGTATTTACTGTGGATGTTATATTATATTAACATAAAAACACACTAAACACTAAGAAATGCACACTTTTTGTTAGGGACTACCCGTTTACATGTATGTCTCAACAAGCTTAATTGATAAAATGGGCAATCCAACCAGTCACTTCTAGTTCAGCAGATATGCATCAAAAACTGTAAAGGGGGAATATTTTTGGTGAGTAAGCACGTTATCATAACTGAAAATGCAAATTCTTTTCACCAAGAGGAGGATGAAATGCTCTAAGATTCTTAGCCTTTTAAATGGTTTACACCCTTGAGCTAATCTTACATTTGTGGTCACCCAATATTCCTAAATCTCAACCCATCTTGTTTATAAATGCTCTCAGCTCGTCAGAAGGTCAAATCAAAATTAGTGTACCTTTAGAGGATCACCTATTTTAACAACGGATGAGATGCCACCCCTGGCAATCACCTGAGTTGCTTTCGCTTTCTCTGAGGTTCAGATCTACTCCCTATCAAAAAATAAAAATAAAAAATTTATCGTTAAAATTCGGATAGCACATATTCAATGATAAATGGTGAAAATTGGACATGTATATACAATTCAAACAACATAGTGTACGTAGTAAAAATAGTAGGCAGCCTTGTGTACACGGGTATAACTCTTTAAAAAGGAACTACAATCTTATGTCTTAATGTAAATATGCTTATAAAAGAAGATCACATCCCATCAGGATGTATGTTCCCACCGCAAATGAGGGGTAAAAAATTTAAAGGAAGTCTTCATTTTTTTTTCTTTATTTTCCTATTTTCCTTCCGCACCAAATCTTCTATTTGAAAAGAAAGAAGATCATGGCTCCCCAGTACTGCATTCATCCCCACTCTAGTTTTTAATAAATAGGTAAACCTACAACTTGTTTATAATTTTTTAAGCAACAAACCTCTAGATGATTTTACTGCAAGCAGTCCTTCCTGGATTCCAGTAATATGACGATCCTGAGGCCAAAAAAAAATCTTAATTTTGAAATATTCATTTCCTAATTAGCAGCAACTGTTGAATCAAAACAAATTCATAGAATGTATAGGACAATGTAAAACAATGATTGAACTGAGAGAGCATTTCACAACTTGATCTGAGGAGCTTCTGGTTAACTAACGTTTCATTTGAAATTGTTGAAGGGAAAAAAGACAACTTTATAGGGTTGAGCATTAGAAACCCATTAACATTAATTAGATAACAGGTAGGGGTGGCAATTCATGTTTCAGTGTAGTGACAAGACATGGGTATCCTATCCTATTATATGGGTCCATACGAAAACGTCAAAGAACCTTGAGTCCTTGACATAAACACAACACGATTGTTAAATAGGTAGCCCGACCCGACCAGCACAATCCGTTTAAAAAATGGGTCAAGACCTAACATGACACATTTAATTAAAATTTCATACTTTTAGGGCCATTTCTAACACGACACGTTTAGTTAAACTGGTTATTTCTAACACAAACATGACATAATTAGTAAACAGGTTTAATCAGGTTATAAACAGATGGGCAAGTTACACGACACATTTAATTAGCGTGTCAATTCGGGTTGACATGACTATGATCTGAACACGATTGAGCCAAACCGAAACACCCACTTATCCCTTTGTTGTGTTAGCATGTCATGTCCAGTATTGCCACCCCTAGTAACACGCCTGCTGCATAACCTCCACAGTTTGAATAGAACAGCAAGACCAACGCAGAATCCTAAATATAAAAAGTTATGATTTGCATGCTAGCCTTCTTGTAATCATTGCTTTAAATCCTAATGAGATATTTTATCAGATGCAAAAACCAATGCATAATGACCGTGAAATGTAGTTCAGCAGATGCACAGTTCAAATATGTTTGGAAAGATTAAAAGTAAAAAAACAGAGATTCATATAATAAATATGAAAAAAAAAAAATTGCGCTACCAATTGTGGAAGCATTCTGGATTTTTAGTTTTGTAAAGAAAATTTGAATAACCAAGGCAGGTTAACAATACCATAGCAGTAAGTTGACTACGGTTGTCAAGCCTCCAGGTACTAACCGGTCCAACTTAAAGACCAGAAGAACCACTAAATTCAAACCTACAGTGTCCATCCAGGTTTTCACGCTTTTAATTGTTCAAAAAAGTTGTGGAAAATTTCTAGTACAATAACAATAAGTTGATGATTTACCTTGGCCATTACAATGTTACATAGACACGTTAGAACATTTTACAGGTACATGTGAAAGGGAAATTATATCTAGATATACAAAGACTGGCATCTTTTTCAACTAATATGAACTTTTAATTAGGCAGAGTAAAAATGTCAACAACCACTACATCCAAATATACCGGATGGATATATACGTTTGTGTTTGTAGGTGTATGGGGATGTTGGTGTGTGGTGGATGTGTGGAGGTCTCAGTGCATGGGGCTGTATGTGTGCGAGCGACTGGGCAAATTTAGTTGCCTGATTGGATCTGTAGAATCCATACAAATAAAAGTTAAATGCCAATGCAAAAGCTAAAAAGTTATTACAAACCGCATCATATATTGCTGTTTGGTTGCGCCAGAATTCTAGTGTGGGTAGAAGTAGTCTCCCTGCAAAATATCCATCAACAATGAGCAAATGGATGAAAACCAAAGTCAAAGTAACATTAGTCATCTTATTTAGGGAGTATCGAAACACTGATCATCATTTTGTTTCCCAGAAATTATTCACCCAAACCCATACAACATGAAATGCAGGAAAAGAAACTCATTCATCAAAATTCAAAATGCACCCTCCTATATACACAACAACAACAACAAAAAGACCTGCTATGATAGAGAAATTGTGAATCATGACAACATCAGTTACTTGATTATAGAAAAAAATCTACACTGAGAACAAAAGAGATAAGGAAGGGGGGGAAGATAAAAAACATACAGGCAAGACTTATATCGTTGCACGAGACCTGGAGCAGGACATTGCATGAGCTATTAAACCAGATGTCAAGCTTACCTGATCGAGATCTTTTGAAACTCAAAGATCCAGGAGAGACAACAGATTCTTTCTCTTTTTGCTCCCGAATGATAGGACTTCCCTAAATAAAGAAGTAAGAAAATGATATTTTAAACAAACTCAACAAATATTTGAAGATAAACCTGGACAAATTAATAAATTGCCAACAAAACAAAATATATAGAATCACAAACAAAAAATTAATCATCCGGAGAATGTATAAAACCAACTGAAGATATAAGCAGTACTCAATACCCTTCCTGCACCTAAATCAAAATAAACAGCAAAAGCAAGCATTGGTAAGATTTAACTAGGAAGAAGATGCAACTAGAGCACCAAGGTTACTAAAATGCCCACATAACAGATCTCACTTATCAGCTTGAATATTCTAATGTAAACCTAGATGCTGATGCTACCCCGATGTCTTGCGCTGTGCATGTCATTCACAACAACATACCATAAAACAACATAGATAGACTCTTATAAGAGATTAATTAGAAGATACTAATTTCTAACATGGCTAAGCAATGTAGAAGTACCAGAAACAGTGACTATATAGCATGAAACCATTACGCATAGAATAAATCTTTTCCTTTCATACATTATTTTAAGACATAATTTTACGAGAGATAATTTTGACCCCCTTTTACTTATAAAAACCATCTCAAAAACACTTGGAAACAGTATCATGTTCATCATAAGACACTAAAAGCCGATAGCACACCAAAACATAAGGTACCAGAACTAGTAAGAGCCCATTGCGATTGCTGTTAGAATGATGAAAGCACTTTTAGTAGTAGAGCTGTCACAAAACTGTTGTCAGTAACGAGCATGTCGTGTTTGGCAATGAATTGTATAAAGCATTTTTTATAATTAAAAGCACTTTTAAATTTGTTTGGTAACAATGTTACCTCAAAGCACTTTATTACTAATTTACTATATGGGTACACTAATTTACTATATTTTCACTCTACGCGGCCTATAGTATCTCTGCAGCTTACCAGATACGATGAGAACAGTGGCAGAGAAGCAGATCGGTGGCGGTACTGCAAATCAGCAGCAGAGTCCCAGACTAAACAGATTTTTTTTTTTTTTTTTTGCATAGTCAATATATAATACAAGGGATAGAATTATGTTTATATAAAAAACAGAGGGATTAGATGGTCTAAAAAAGGTAGTTACCTACCTCTACCTAGAACACAATTCGATTTCTAGTTTCAAGTAAATGCGCTTTTTTTACAAAATCTCTACCATCTAAAAGTACTTTTTTTGTCACCAAACAAATCTAACCGCAATTTTTTGAGATGAAAGCGCTTTTTAGTGGTAGGAGAGCAATCCCAAACGGGCTCTAAGTCTATGGTCCTGATGCATACTTAATTACTGACATAATAATTGCACTAGATTCTCAAATATTGATGTCCAATCACAGTGATAAAGAACAGGTCACGTCATTATTAGCAATGTCATTGGACATAGTCAATGGTGCCACTTGTATTATCTGCAATACAAATTCATCTTGATGAAGCGAAGACTGTTACTTTTGATTTCAGTTAAATAACTTTTCAAATAATCAATCTGTTGATTCTAGCTCATCATTTTTTCAGAGCTATGTTCCAATTTAGCAATATCAAATTCACATAATAAAAAATGACAATGCCACAATAAGGGAGGGCTTAATATTAGTAAGATAAGCTCATCAAAATAAAGGAGAACAAAATAATTTGAAAAACAAAAATAAGAACAGCTTACTAACATATGTCAATTTCCTTTTAGTCTTCTTCCTAGATGCATTTGCTTCTTTAGCATTGCTCTCTTTCTTGTCAACATCTTTACGGATTGCGCCATCAATCCTAATGGAGGACTTGACAGACTCTTTTGTGTTTTCGCCCTCCATACCATCCTGAAACATAATGTTTCCATGATTTTGTTCCCATTTTGGATCAATATCAATATGAGAAAGCCACAAATCATAACAGAACCATCTTTGATACACCCAGTATCTAAATTACTTACAGTTATATCATCTGTAGGCTCTTGAAATCCAGCATTAGAGACATTCAAGATACTTTTGCCTCCTGATTCACTCTCAACATTTGCTACAGCACTCTTTAATTGATCATCTTGGCCCTCATCTTTTGATGTTAAAGAACATCTTCCTATTGTACCTTTGACACCAATAGAAGAACTTGAACCAATATCAACAATTGTTTCATCTTCAACACAACTTAAGAAGTCAGTCACATTATTATGCAGGTCAGAACTTTTCAAGGCATCACCAATGATTATCTTAGGCACATCTTGAGAAGGACATGCTTTCGTAATTTCCAATGAAACTTTATTACAAGAACCATCCCTGAGGCTGTGTTGCTCCATTGCTGACAAGATTATTCCAGAGTCTTCTAATCCCACATCCATTTTATCACTGCCATGGCTTTCTTCACCAATAAGCTTCTCATTTTTCTTTGGAGTTGCTTCACTATAGTCTTTTGTGCCAGCAACAGCTGCAAATTTTCAGTATAACAGAAGAGAAAATGTTAACATAGGAATTTCAGAATTATCATGTCTAAGACAAAATTCTGCATGGTAACTCAACATCAACAAAACAAAATGGCATGTGAATAATACCTCCTGAATGTGTGGATAACTTGTCATGACTCAAGTTACTTCTTGAAACAGCCTCGTTGGTAAATCCTCCTCCAAAACACTTTTCAGCATATTCCTCCCAGTATGGAGGAAATCCAAAAACAAAATGATTGAAGACCTGTTCAGGGTAAGATTTAATATAGAAACTTCATTTGGAATTTTGACAAAATCAAATTGCAATATTGTATCCATGTCTAAGCTCTAAAATAAACATGTAAATGCAACCATAAAGTTCAAGGATCCAGGCGCGCAAACAGCAGGGCCAAATTTTGATGTATTTTACAACTCATCAGAGAAAGCTTCATCAAAATTTCAAAACTAAAAATATGACAAAGATAAATTATTTATAGATTTCGTTTTATTTGCCTTACAATAATTTCATATTTGACATACCATCCCTCACTAAATTAACTATGAACAAACTAATAAACATTATCATGTTTCTCAGAATCATAATTCTTTAGTTTCGCAGAGTCAATGCTTGTGCAACTGTCAGACTCCAACACACGAGTCTATAGATGAACTTTTGGTGCCAAGACTCCAAGAAAATATAAGCCATAAGTCATAAAAACTTAACCACAGGAATAGTTCATCTTTCAAGTAATGCATCTGAATTGTCACCTTAGTTACACAAATCAAACAGCACTTGGACAGCTTCTTGATTGCTTTGATTTCAAATCACCAAGGCTCCAGAACACAACTGTGGCACAGTGAAGCACTATGACACTACCACAAAAATGTTTTAACCACTAGAGTCAGTAACTGCAATTGGACAACTTTGCCACCGGTTGTCTCATCAACTTCCCCAACCATGCCAGCTTTCTAATTTCACATATTGAGCCATTTTCATGCACCTTCAATGATAAAGTGACAAATTTGCTCCAAGAGTCCAACTAAGCAGCAAAGATCTTAGTAAGGTATTTCATATATTAACATTTTATACTTAGTTTTGGCTACTTGTTTTTCTACATCAGTAGTTTAGTCACCTAAAACTTTGGTTTTCCATTATTAATAGAAAAAACTTGGCACCGATGAATGTTTCTTGTAACATTCTACACGCTTAGAAATTAGGGCCCCGTTTGGGAGAACTTTCTCATATTAAAAGTCCTTTGTTGATAAGGCCTTCGTGAAATGAATTTTGTTGGAAGGAATTCGTAAGAAAAAGACGACTGGCGAGCACATTTCTTAAATTTACCTTAACTTATAGATAATTTTTTTCTTGACAATAATATCCTTCATCCTAGACAATTATTGCAAGCCTCCAATAAAATGTGTGAAGGAAGCAATGGTGGAAGGCGATGGCAATGGTGGTGGTGGTGGACGGTGGCAGTGGTGGAATGAAGGACTAAGAAAGAATATAGGACAATATTGTCAATCTATCAAAAGTACATGGGCAAATTAGTAAAATGACAAATTTATCCTTAAAAAAAATTTGCTTCTTAAAAGGAGGTTTCAAAAGTAACATTTTCTTACTTCTCTGAAATGGGCTTTCTGACCATTAGCTTTTCGAGAAAGTCCTTTACATACGTGTAACCAAACATCACAATTTTTTTCAAATGGACTTTTCAAACTTGGAAGGACTTTTTGAGGCTTCAAGAAGCTCCCCCAAACGGGGCCTAGAAGTGTGGTCCCCACACTTGTCACGTGATAGTGATATGATGATTTAGTTGTATGGCACTTTGATATAAAATAAACTCAGGAACACCTCAAGCTAAAACGGATCTACAGCTAAGATTAATTAGTCTCTAACGAGTAAATAGAAAAAAGTTGGCAATTAAAAGGCATTTCATTGAACATTTTATATCCTTATGATGTGAGAATGAGGTCCCTACACTCGTCACATGATGATTTAGTTGTCTGGTAATTTTATAAAAAACAACAAGCACAGGAACACCTGTCACTAATTGAAGGGGAAAACATAAAATAAAATAAGGAAAATGCCCCCAATCCACATTCATATCCCTCTCATTGAAACTCTGACACCTGCCATTCATATAATCATATTCTTTACCTAACCTTTGATTAACTTAAAACCATGCTTATCATACCTCGGCAGGAAACCCATTTTCTTCTGTGCGGACCTTGTTTATGAAGCCCTTAATAATTATGAATATCCCATCAACTGTCTCAAGAGTGAAGACATCGAATCTCCTATGGATTGGTGCAGAAGAGAAAACTCGCCGAGCTTGTTGCCTACAGCAAGTAAATATATTCCAGAAAACAGAAATAATAGAATTTCCGTATCTGCTAGAAATCTAAAGCAAGTTAAAATGTGGAAGCTGCAGTAAGTTGTTAGTAAAGCTCGTTATAATCCAGAAAGTGCACCTGGCTTGTAATTTGAATAAACAGTGTATGGGAAGAAGAATAATGATATATCAATGAAATAACAAAACAACTGTAAAACTTTTGTCACCAACAGGCCAGGCCTAGCGGTTCCGGACCCCTACTTCCCAAAGGGAGGTCAGGGGTTCGAGTCTCAGTGGAGGCATGTGTGTGTGAGTACCAACTAAGAACGAAAAAAAAAACCTTAAACCTTTGTCCATTTATGCCAAAAATCTTGTATGCAAGACACTTCCACTGATACAGAATGGTCCAAGTGCGGGAAGCAAGGTTTCATATTATAGACTATCAGAGTTTAAAACCTAAAGAGTTTTAGAAAAACAAGAAAAGGAAATGTAACCAAAAATTGTGGACACAACTGAAGTAAAGAAAGTGGCCATCACATACTGCGTGCTCTTACTCTCACCATGTTTGAGGTCTTATGTTCTTCTAAATTCCTAGCTCTAATAAAGTCTCATGCAGCCCCCACGTGGGCTTCGCGCCATGGCACCATTTTGGTGCCTTTGGGGCACCGGATGGTCCATAGATCCCCTCCCTCGATCCAATCACAACTACTTGCCAAAGGCACAAGCATGAGGTAAGCATTGCACACCCCTTTAAAAGATGAGACACATAAATGCAACCCAATAAATCATATTAATCACGAAACCTCAAATTCGAAATGGTGTTCACAAGTACAGTGATGCCAAATATTACGAAATTACCACTCTAAGCTCAAAACATCAAAACCATATACAAGAAGCACAATTTCTCCTACTACCATGCATTTTGCCCAGCAACGTCACCATGAATCGTGAATATAAGATAACCCTAAGAAAGGAAGGCCTTACTCTCCAGAAGTAAACCCAGCAATAGCGAGTCTCTTCTCTCCGATGTCCGTTTCGACCTTAATCAACCACCAATCTTGCAAGCAAACCTTTTATTATCGGAAACAAGATGAAAATCAAAACAAAATCAAACATATATCATGGGATGAAATGGGTTTTTGATTTGAAAGTGTTTCGGAAATCAAACTTACTGTTTTTTGAAAATGAGATAACGAAGCATTGTTGCTGTCGATTGATTGATTCGATGTAGAAGCAGAGGCCATGGAGATAGAAACGTACTGTAGACACGGCTTCAGCAAGTTTCGCTTTTTTCTAGGGTTTTGAAGGGCACTGCTGAAAACTCAAATCCCGGAGGCGGTTGAGATGTAATGGCGCGGGAAAGTAAGTGAACGAGTGGACTCATTTGTGGCGCGATTGTTGGTTTCTTAGAATGGTCTGGTGTTCGAATCACAATAAGGACTATTATTATTATTATTTTTTTTTTTTTGGGATACTTCTTTTATTTCCACTGAAATTAGTCCCGTTATGACAATTTATTGTTAGTTTCCAAGTCAGTGAGGAGGAAACTATTATATGGTATTGGGCGATTGGTTCCATCAATTTATTGCTCACCTTCAAGCATAAAATTGAATAAAGTTTTGACAAATTTATTTATATGTCATTATATTCAAAATTATATAATAATTTTTCAATCGATTATAAGTCAATTTAATTTACAACAAAAATAAAATTAAATACACCACCCCATTCTCAATCGGGAATGTAGAGTTAATCTAAAATATGAAGAAACTAATTATTAATCTCAAATGATACCATGAAGCATTGCATTCCAACCCTAATATTTCATTCAGGTGATTTGAATTTTAAAAGTATCAAAACTAAGGCCAGCTCTTACTCATTGACTAAAAATAGTGAGTTGTTGTGGACTTCTTGTTATCAAATCATGACATAAAGTCCTAAAATTAGACAAATCCGAGAGGAGGCATGTACCCCATCACTACATCATGACTCTAATAAAAAGAGATAGCTTAATGTAAAATGTTTCTATTATTGAAGGGTCTCCAAGTTCACCTTCTCTCAAGTTTTACATCCCATTTTGTACATAAATAAGAAATCTTCGATTAAGGTGTGAGATATTGTAACTTATAACATCTCTTGTAAATTTTAAAGTGAAAGATTGATCGTGAAAGCAAATTGAATGTCTGAGATATTTGTTAAAAAAAAAATACAAATAAATTGAAGAAGAAAGGGAGTTCATTATAAAAATAGCATGGTGAATATAGTGATAAACTTGCACTTTTGAAATAATTGTTCTTTAATCGTATTGCTGAAAAGTAATTTTCGAATGAAAAAACAAAGAGTAATGACAAAAATTTTAGGATTCTAATAAATGGAGTCAAGCAATATTTTGTTGTCAATAAATAATAAAGGGTAAAATACAGTCACACCCTTTGAGATTTGGCAAAAAGGACACTCAGATGAAACTTACCTGTTTTTTGGATAAAGACACCCCCTGAAGGTTCAAAAATGAACAAAGACACCCCTTTACATGAAAAATTGACCAAATTACCTTTTGACTGTTTAGGAAACTTTTTTAACTTTACAATTTAATAAATTGGACTAATCTACCCTCATGAACAATTTATGCATAAAAAAAAGTAACCAAAAAAAAAAAAAAACCTTTATAATGTTCACCTTTTTTTTTTTTTTTAAATGTCCCAAATTCTTAAAAATGTAGACGTTTAAAATGATTTTTTTTATCCAATACATATATTTCAAATAAATTATATTTTGTTAATACTTATTTTCTTTTTCTTTTTTTAAATTAAGATGCTTAATTCTTTCATCTAAAAAAATTAAACCAATCTCTTTTCCTTAAAAATAAAAAATATGGTACCAGTATAACTTCATACATCTTAAATTATATATAAAATATTATGCATTTCCCAACATATGAATAAGGCTGCGTACGTTTGACCCTTGCTAGACCCCGCAATGGCGGGAGTCTCATGCACTAGGCTAACACTTTGAAAATAGTGGAAAAGAGAATTGATGTGGCCAACGTCATTGGTTGGCAAGGATGATGACGAAGTCAATCCCCGTTGGGGTTTGAATGGTTGAACCCACAACCTCCCCTTTAGGGGGTGGACATGCCACTTGATAGAGAAAAATATAAACCTACCATACCCTCGATAAGATTGATTAGATTTCATTATCAAGGATAATGAAATCAAATCTGACGTGATTCAACAAGTAAGAATAATCCTACTATAACTAGAGGAGGTCAAAAGGATTAAATCATATCCCGACAAATTTGGTAATATATCTCCTATGATTTCGCACAAGCGGAAGATAAGGTCAACCATCGATATCAGCGGAACGATTTTGATTCCAATCGACAGCCATAAATAGGGCATTAAGCCATTAAAGAAGGTACGACGTAAAAACTATTATTAATCCCTGCCTTCTTTTTAGACCTCCGTGACTAATTTGATCATCGGAGAACTCTTGGCAGGCACCACACCAATGCAGTCAAGGTTCATCGATCTTCTCCTCTCTTCCTTGTAGGAAAACGGTATCGTATCGAACTGCGCGAATTTCAACCTCAACACCACTCAAGTCAAGGCTTCGACATTTATGAAGGGCACTATACATACATATATATGTGTGTGTGTGTGTGTGTGTGTGTGTGTATATTGTCAATGATGGTGGTGTCAGGCCTTTTAAAACTTCCTATAGTACCACCGAGCACTATACATATAATAGCCCATCCCACATGCCCCTGGAATTGCTGAAAATATTTGCTGGGAGTGTCCCCAAGATATTCGAACCCCAAACCTCCAAGATGTGAGGTAAGAGTCTTGTCATTATGTTATCCCATTGGGGTCAAGGTAACTTAGAGTCGACTCAGCACATTTTGCTCCCCAACTTTTTTTTTTTTTTTGTAATATATTTTTATATTATTGTTTTTTGCAAAAACCATCTCATAAACAGTACTAGTCTAAAATAGAAGAATTAGAATGAGTATTTTAGCCTCTTTAAATGTGTGTCATGATAGAGATCAAATTGGTTAAGTTTTTTGAATGATCATAAGATAGTCAATTTGATCCTGTGATGTTAAGGATATACTTGTATGCATGCTGGTGTTGTATTATCTTGCAAACTTAAATTTCCCACCATTTTTTCCTTTTTTTTATTCCCCTTGGGGATGGGGGGAGGTTAAAGTTTGTGTTTCTAGACTCATGGATTGTTGCTTGACTAAAGCCTGATGGCTTCATTCTGTATTTATGCTTACAGGGCTGAACAAGAAAACTACATCAGAAAAACTAAATGAAGCATTCTGTAAATTTGGGGATGTTGAACATGGTAACTTTATTTTAAATATTTTCACTATTTGCTTGTTAGTTTGTTATTTCTGCTTTCTCTTTCTCTCTCTCTCTCTCACACACACACACACACAGAAGCATGTTATGCATACATATGCATAAGGAAATTGACTTGCTTGTTAACAGAAAACATCACACACATGGACATTTTCTTCTCATGTGGATTTTGCGGAACTTGCATTACGTAAGAAACATAGACACTTCTAAGTTCTTAATTTCGGACCATGACAACACTTATTGAAAATGTTATAACACGTGACTGATGAACGCTGAACATTGGATTAGTCTTTATTTAACATTAAAAGAATGTATAATTGTGAGAAAAATCAAACTGAAGGTTTATTTAAAATTTGTCCAAAGTTCAATAATTTTTCTGAAAAAATAAAACAAGTTAAGTTTTATGGAAGGGGTGGGTATGGAGTAGGGGAGGAGTAACCAGAGTACGTTTGTATACCTACCTATAATATATACATGCATAAACCAACACACACACGCAAATATGAGTTGTGTCCTTATTATGTCTTTCTCTCCATGACAGGGATAATTATAATTGTATGATTTGTAAGTTACAAATTCATGTAACAATCATATAATATTTATATCATATAAATTATGATTCTTATATAAAGAATATATGTTCTTTTGCCGTGTCTTTGCCTTGTTCATGTCCTACATTTTGTAGGATTTGCCATGTCTGCATGTCCATTTCCTGTGTCCATGCTAATTTACTGCTTTTAACTGTGGAGGAAAATTGTTACTGTTTTCAGAAACGTAAGATTTGTCTTTATAGAAGAATTGAATTTTACCTTCCAAAAAAAAAATAATAATAAAATAAAATTGAATTTTAGGAAAGTTGTGATGAATTCTAAATTGAATTACAAGTGAAGACGTGAAATAACGTCATTAATAATTATTCTGTCTTTTAGCCAGAGTAGTGACAGACCGGACATTTGGATGTTCAAAAAGATTTGGATTTGTGAGATATGCCACTTCTAGAAGGCGCAGAGGCAGGAATTAAGGGAATGGATTCACAGGTTAAACTACTAACTCCCTTGGTGGTTTAATTTTTTGATTGATAATGCAAACGCCAAGTATATCTTGATGATTGCCTAGCTGTCAGAATTTTTCTTTGTCCATCTCTTTCATTATTTTCAGCTGTTTTTAGCTGTATAGATTTCATTTGCAGCGTAGATAACAGAGATCTATATACATGGAGAAATGATCTTTAAGAAATAAAACGAGACACATCCACCAGAGAATCAACTTAGATGATGTTGGAGTACTTCAGTAAATATTTATTTGTTCTTTGTGAGAGTAGTGATTGGATTGGATAGTTGGTCAGAGCTTGCTCTGAAATCATGTTTCTGTTAGGATATGTGTGCCCTAGCATAGCAAATTCTAATTTTGGATTGTAAAAGTCATGGTTTCTTATTTGGATATTATTATTAAAGCATTATACAATTGGTGAATGGAATGTATTATTTTTCGATTCTTTATGGAATTGATGGTGTCTACTTGATTACAAAATATATTTATATATGTATGTAATGGCAATTAATACTATGATATAAATTAGTAATCATAAATGGTTTAAAGTCGGTAATTATGGATGGACATTTAATTAGTTAAGACTTAAACCGAGTCCACGATAGATTGAGATATATTGCGAGAGTTGTCGTATGCAATTGCTCTCTATCACAGTCATGGCTTTTGACTCTCAAGCATGAGAGAAGTATAGACTCTTTTATTAATTAATAATTACTTTGATTTGTTCGGCGGATACCTCAGGATCCTTAGATCGACATTTTGGGTAGTTATGTAATTAATAATTAGAGATCTATATTCTCAATATTTGTATCAGTGCTATTTGTATTTATTTTGTTTTGATTATGGTTGATCACAAATTAAATTCGAAGGCCTTCGTATGTTTTAGACAAATATTTTCTATATATATTTATTTAATAAATTATTATTATTTTTTGTCAAATAAATATTTTATTGTGATCGAGCCGGAAATAATCAAAGGTAACAAAATAATTATATTAATTATGTTGTCGGATTGATGGCTTTAATTATCCGATAAATAATTAAGCATAGAAGGGTCAAAGTGCAACATTGACTTAGAGGTTATTTACTATTTAATTGGGGTGCAATTAATTTCTTTTAGTGGAATAGAAATTAATTTATGAATTAATTGAATTGGGTCCATGGTTTAATGGACCGGACCAATTATTAATTTATAG